TTAATCCATTGGAACTGTTTCTGTATATACTGTGAGATGCAATGTCATGTGTTTCTATTTAGATAACCAATTGTCCTCATTTTTAAAAAAGTTCTTCCTTTCCCTGCTAACAAGAAGTGCCCATTCTGTGAATTATCAAGTGTCCATATATGTGTGACTGTTACTAAATTCTCTATTCTGTTTCCCTAGTCTCTTTGTCTATCTGTTAAACCCACATTGTCTTAATTACTCTAGCTTTATGATAAGACTTGAAATCTGGTAGAGCAACTCCACCCACCTTGTTTCTCTTCTGATATTCTTGGCTTTCTGCTCTTTCATATAAATTGTAGAATTACTTTTATCAAATTCTACTAAAAAAATCCTGTTGAAATTTTCACTGGAATCACATTAAATTTACATATCAATACGGAAAATTGGGAGCTTCCCTAGTGGCTCAGATGGTAAAGAATCTGCCTGCAATGTGGTAGACTCAGGTTAGATCCCTGGGTCAGGAAGATCCCCTGGAGGAGGAAATGGCTACCCACTCCAGTATTCTTACCTGGGAAATCCTATGGACAGAGGAGCCAGATGGGCTAGTCCATGAGTGTGCAAAGAGTTGGACATGATTGAAGCGACTTGGCACAGAGAAAATTGATACGCCCATGACATCAAGTCAATCTAGCCAAGAACATGGTACTCCTTTCCCATTTATTTAGCTTACTTTGGCCTTGTCATAAAATTCCCCACAAAGCTTAGCAACTCTTTTACTAGACACATATATACACATATTTTGCTCTCATTTTTATTCTAACTGGTATTTAAAAACTTAAACAAATTTTTAATGGAGTATAAGTTGATTTATAACGTATCATTTTTTAGGACTACTCTTCTGTTATTAATGCAGAGCAAAGTGCAGCTGACTTAAGAATCTTACATTGAGTGAACTTACTAAACCTCTAAAATTTAAAAAATTTATTTGTAGACTCCATTTCTCTATGTAGATAATTATACTTTGCTTTTTCCTTTCTTATCTTTACATCTTTCGTGTCTTGTTGCATTGGTTATGATTTCGAGTACCACTGAATAGAAGCTACGCTAGCAAGTAACCCTCCTCTTGTTTCTAGTTTTAAGGAAATGTTTATTTTAAATTTGACTTGTTGCTATGATGTTAAATAGATGGGCAAACAATGGAAATAGTGACAGACTTTATTTTCTTGGGCTCCAAAATCGCTACAGATGGTGACTGCAGCTACGAAATTAAAAGACGCCTGATCCTTGGAAGAAAAGCTATGACAAACCTAAACAGCGTATTAAAAAGCAGAGACATTACTTTGCCAACAAAGGTTCATCTAGTCAAAGCTTTGGTTTTTCCAGTGGTTATGTATGGATGTGAGAGCTGGACCATAAGGAAGGCTGAGCGCCAAAGAATTGATGCTTTTGAGCTGTGGTGTTGGAGAAAACTCTAGAGAGTCCCTTGGACTGCAAGGAGATCAAACCAGTCAATCCTAAAGGAAGTCAGTCCTGAATATTCATTGGAAGAAAGCTACAATACTCTGGCCAACTCATTAGAAAAGACCCTGATGCTGGGAAAGATTAAAGGCAGGAGAAGGGGACAACAGAGAATGACATGGTTGGATGGCATCACCGACTCGATGGACATGAGTTTGAGCAAGCTCCAGGAAATGGTGAAGGACAGGGAAGCCTAGTGCGTTGCAGTTCATGGGGTCACAACAAGTTGGACATGACTGAGAGACTGAACAACTTCTATTACTAGTTTGTTATGTGCTCTTTATCACGATGAGGAGTTGAATTTAACTGAATGCTTCCCCTGTGGCTCAAAAGGTAAAGAGTCTGCCTGCAAAAAAAAAAAAAAAAGAGTCTGCCTGCAATGCAGGAGACCCAGGTTCAATCCCTGGGTTGGGAAGATCCCCTGGAGAAGGAAATGGCAACCCACTCCAGTATTCTTGCCTGGAGAATTCCATGGACAGAGGAGCCTGGCGGGCTACAGTTCACAGGGTCCCAAAGAGTTGGACATGACTGAGTGACTTCATGTTCACTTTTCCTACATCCACTGAAAAGAACATGTATCTTTTCTAATACGTAAATGCAAAAAATTGTATATGTACATTTGTCTAATATTGATATAACTTTGTATTCCTAGAACAGGCCAGTAGTGCAGAACTTTTTACTTAGAGTCAGAAGAGTTAAATGGTCTGAGTAGAAACTGCTTAAAACTGACTCAACTGTACAAGAATAGCCCTACTTGCTCACCTCAGACCCTATCTCCTCTAGGGCATCGTTGCTGACTCATCCACACCTGCTCTGAGCTCTTAGAACATTTACTATTGATGATGTTCATCTGACACTTGCCTCGTGATATTCTGTACCTGTCCTACCTCCCAACTAGAATACAAGTCTCTGAAAGAGTAGTGACTACAAAGCTTACAACAAATGCTTGCCTAAAAAGCTTAAACCAGTCTAACGGATATGGTGGTAAAACATGAGTTGAACAACAATGCAGCATCCTTAGAAAGATGAGACTCCTGGACGTGAGTTTTCTAGAGAGCTTCACTCAAATCCACTTACTCTCACTAAAACATAAAAATCATTCTAAATCATATTCCACACTTCTGCTTTGTGAGTGTTCTGCCCATGCTATAGATATTTCGTGATTTTAAGCATGATTTAACTTTTTTTGTTGTTGAGTACCACCTGCAATGCAGGAGACCCCGGTTCAATTCCTGGATCGGGAAGAAACCCTGGAGAAGGGATAGGCTACCCACTCTGGTATTCTTGGGCTTCCCTTGTGGCTTAGCTGGTAAAGAATCCACCTGCAATGCAGGAAACCTGGGTTTGACCCCTGGGTTGAGAAGAGCCCCTGGAGAAGGGAAAGGCTACACACCCCAGTATTATAGCCTGGAGAATTCCATGGACTGTATAGTCCATGGGGTCGCAAAGAGTCAGACACGACTGAGCGACTTTCACTTTCATAGTTAATCATTAGGAATATCAGTTATAATAATGCTAAAGATATAGCTGTGGACACATAATGTGTGGGATGCAGAACCTCAGCTATGGCCCTGAATTAGCCTTTAACAGGGAAGGAAAAACAAAAAAAAGCCCATATTATCCCCCGTTAGCGTTGACCTTTAGTTAACTCTCAGCAGCCAATGCAGGTTTCCTCCTCCACTCTCCTACTCTCTCCACCCTCTCTTACCCCTGAATTACACAATGCAGAACTTGCAGGATACATATTTAGCAGCGATACTGTGAAAAGTTACCACTTCTCCAGATTACAACAACCTGTTTTTCCATTGTGACTCTTTTCTGGACCTACTACTAGCTGACCTCATCACGTCTTCTAATCTCTAGAGACAACAAATACGGTGTAGCTAAGACTCTGGGACCACGCTGTCAGGGTGCAAACCCCAGTTGGACATTTACAGGTGAAAGTCCCACAACAAGTCCCTTATCCTCAGTTTCCTCATTCATACAATGAAAATAAACATATCTCCACCACTATAAGATTTATGAGAATTAAACAGGCTAATATGTGTAAAGTGCACAGAACACGGTCTCGCCCACAGTAAGCCTTCTATCTGGATTTTTTCCTTTTTTTAATGGATAAAATACCACTCTCTTAACTCTCTCTTAAAACTACTCCAGTATTTCTCACTTTCTGTTGTGGTTGTGCTGGCGGAGGTAATGGTATTCTTTCGTGGGAGGGGGCAATGCAGACATCACTAACTGATCCTCAATCCATCCCGCCTGTCAGTGCGTCTTTCTGACAATGAAGGGAAGGCCCATACAGAGCATCAAGGTTATTCACTGTTCTGTTAGCCAGGTTAAAATAAGCACAGCTGAAGAAAATGGGGCTGTTTATTTAATCGACATAACAGGAATACAGGGACATGTGTGGCTACTGTTATCAAGTATTTGCAGGCTGGGATGGATTAGAGATATTAAAAATATTGAAAATTCTATGGACCAGTTACAGGCGCACACCACTGAGCATGTTTAAGCAGCGCACTGGTGACAAGATGCCAAGGATGCTGTGATAATTTTTTAAAATTCAGAGTCAGATAACTTTTAAGATTCCTTCTACCTTGAAAATCTTGGCAATACGAATGTGAATCATCAAGACGTTACAAAGGAGTTGTGAGTCACACATCCAACGAGCTCCTTAAGGCACAGAATTCTTCACTGCCCACAGTACTTGGCACAGAACAGACCTAGCTGAGGAATTCTAGCCCCGAGGGTTCGTATAAGTCGGCTCTCAGTAACAAAAACTTCTCTAAAGCTAAGCGAGTCAATTAGCTGATTTCAGACTTCTGTTGTGACCGGTACATTCAATAAACCATACATCCCAAATGGGATTTGGCAAAAAGACGTGTACCCGGATTAACTATCAGGCGGTCCTCCACTTCACCCTTCCGAGGCCGGACAAAAGCCAATTAAAGTGAGCAGGCAGGTTAAGGGGAAGGGTGGCCCGGGGTAAATGGGCGACCGGAGAGCAGACTTACACACGATCCGGGGAAGAGACAAAGGCCCAGGGGAGAGAGCACGCTGGACTCGGAGGCTCGCTCCAGCCAGACTGGCCACAGTCCGGGTTCGGACTGGAGATGCAAAGGTGTGACGGTAGCGAGAAGGGCCCCTGAGCGCCAGCGGAGCCCCCGCGGGGGTCCTCTCCGCTCCCCGGGAGCAGGGCCGGGGGCCGCCGGAGTCGCAGTCCCGGGGCGGTTAGGGTGGGGAAGCCTGGCGGCGCACCTGCGGCCGGACTCCGGTCCGCACAGGTCTCCCCGCCCCGCAGCCGGATTTCGGATGGTCCATACACCCTCCGCATCAACGAAGGCCAGTCCTCAAGCCCCAGAAAGGCGATCAGACGCCAACGCCGCAGTCCCGGCGCGGAATGTGGGGCAGCGGCTGCCTCCGGCCCGACCCGGCCCCCACCGGGAGCGACCGCCGCCATCGCGGGCCGCGGCCGGGGTAGGGGAGACCAGGGGCCGCGCGCGCCGCTTTACCTGAGAAACCAGCGGCAGCAGCGTCTGCTCCACCGAGCGAGTTTTGATCTCGAGTCCGGAGTCGAAGGCGAAGCCCGACTGGCCGGAGCCGTGCGCTGCCCCGGCGCCGCCACCGCCTGCGGGGCCCGGAGAGGCGGCCATGGCCTTTACTCAGCCCGTCGCGCAGCTGGGACGCTGCGCCGCTGCGGGGCCGCCGCCTCCCGCCAGCCAGCCAGCCAGCCAGCCTGCCCGCTCGCCTGCCCGCCGCGGCTGCAAGGCACCCGAGCCGCCCGCGACCCCGCCCCCGGAAGACCCCGCCCACCCCGCCTCCACGCGCTCCGGCCGGGGGTCCGCCTTGCAGCCCCGCCCCCCAGCCCGGGCCCCGCCCCTTCTGTCCCCGTTCCCACCCTGTTTCTCTCCTCATTCTTCAGTGGGTTCCACACAAGTCTCGCTCCTGCTAAGAGCAGAGACACAGGATGCCCGAGGGCTTCCCACGAACATGTTCCCACGAACATGAGCAAGGACATCCATGCTCAGCGAAGCTACCTGTCCTCCGGAGAAGTGACTCTTCCTAAATCCGAATTCCCCAGGATTCCTGGAAACTGCGCTGGGATTTAAACTATTAATAACAGGTAGACCAGGACAGGAGTCAAGGCTGCAGGGAGGGGCTTCTACCCTAAGATGGAACTTCTACAGGTTAGAGTCTTTCTGGCGCCTTCACAAACACATCTCCCCTTATGTAAATTGTCCATGTTCCATAAAAATTCATTGTATGCACTGGTGCCAAAGGAAAGGCAAGATGTAAGACATAAGAGATGGACATATGTATTCATTCAAGTTTGACTTCACTGAAGATCAAATTTCTCAACAGAGACTAAGTTTACAACTTGATTCATTCAACACTAGTAATTTTATTTCAAAATATAAATATTTTTACATTTACAAAGATGTTACATCAGTAGGTTGTCAAAGCAAGTTAAAGCTAAGAAACAGCATTTGTGAGAATAAAGACACATGGTTATATTTGAATAATCTTTTTTACTTTCAAACCATCTCTACTTTGCCTGAGAATGCAGAGATGATACGTTTTCCAAAAGTTACATGAGCAATAACAACTATACATCCAATCTTGGCTTCAAAATCAAATGGTATTTGAAATACACTCCAATCACCTAGACAAGTGGCACTGCAAAGCACAAAAGAAGGGTTTCCTTTGGAATAATTACAATTGGAGTTATGTTTTCTGGGTCACTGCCATTAAAAACAGTATTTGATAATAAGCCAAAACAATGTTTTAAAATTTGCTACCAGAGCTTTCAGAGTAAAATATAAAGCTAGAATAAAAAGTAAGAAACCAGGTGTGGCGTAAAGAACTCTGGACTTGGAGTCAGAATTTCTGCAACTGAATTCTGGCTCCATCATTTCGTGGTATAAACTTAAGGGGAAAATCACAAAAAACTTTCTGAGCTTTCATCTAATAATACTTGATGCCTGCCTATCTCACAGGGTTGTTATGAAAGCAGTCTGAAACCTATAAGGTGCAATACAAAAGTATTATTAAAATGTCATATCAATATATCACCACTGCATTTGCACTCTAACTGATCTTTGAAAAACTTTCAAAAGTAAAACACAAATACTGACTTTACACACCATAGGTGGAAAAGAATCTCTATACTTGATGTATAGCTCTGAATGGCAAACACGGTTTTTTTCTGGTATTTCACTAAACTTTGAAATATATTACAGTTTACATGGTAGATGTGCCTGCCATTCTGAATTCTACTATGGATGTCTTCTAAATGAGCTGTAAACTTTTACTGAGAGCCCTGTTTCCCAAAGGACCCCAAGTTCTTTGAGATGCTCTGAGAAAAACAGGATGAAGGTGTAGTTTAAGGTCAAATAAGTCTCGTAAACAGAGTCTTTGTCCCCTCTTATAAATTCACAATATATAATAGCATGTTAAAAACTCTTCGAAGTCCTATTCAGAAAGGAAACAAATTCAGCATTCCTCAATTTTAACTGACCATGGAGTCCCTTCCCCCGACTCCATATACACTTTTATTCACTCAGAACATCTAACAACATTCCTTGGAACTACTGCTATAAGGAACACATTTTTTCCAAAACTGGCAAGCTGCATGGGGTCGCAAAGGGTTGGACAGGACTTAGCGACAGAACAACAACTCAACTAGGAGGGAAAGGGAAGAGAAGTAGAACAATGGACTGAGAGAAAAAAGAACTGACTCGACTCTGAGTTGTCACTGACGGGCGCCATGTTAGAAAAGACACTTCGACCTGTGGACTTGCTTCCTTCTCTGTTAAATGACAGGATCACCTAATTATATAAGGCCTATTCTAGCACAGAATTTCTATGACTCCAGGAGGCAAACAGAACATGTTGGTTTATAATTCTCTGATTTTTAAACTACCAAAAAAATTAATTGTTTAGTGGTTTCATATAGCATGAGTAGTCTTTTTTCGCAGATCTTAAGTTAATGTAAGCTAAATTTGTCAACAAGGAAAGTAACTTGAGTGAAGAAACTTTTTTTTTTTTTTGAAGAAACTTTAAAAAAGAAAGCTATAAATGAGACAAGAGCTTTTAGACAAACTCTATTAAGAATAATTATTTTTAAAAAAAGAATAATTATACTTTAGGAAAGTCTATCTAAAATAGTCTCTCCAGATTGGAGTAACTAAACTAAGTGATGAAAGTTTATTGAATAGCTAGGTCATTTCCAAATAAAATGAGATTTTGAAACATAATTACTGAACACTAACTTCCTCTTGGGGCTTCCCAGGTGGTGCTAGCGGTAAAGAATCTGCCTGACAATCCAGGAGACGCAGGATACTCAGGTTCGATCCCTGGGTCAGGAAGATCCCCTGGAAGAGGAAATGGCAACTCACTCCAGTATTCTTGCCTGGAGAATTCCATGGACAGAGGAGGCTGGCAGGCTATAGTCCATGGGGTCGCAAAGAGTCAGACACGACTGAAGTAATTTAGCATGCATGTGTGCATAAGTTAATGAAAAGAATATATTTTGATGGCAAAATGTGCAAAGACAAGAAATACATAAAAACAAAAAAATACTTGTCCTTGACTGGAACTAACATTTGGAACTATGTTGCCAGGGGCTATTTCTACTGCAAAATGCCTACTCTAATACTTTTATAAGGGTCTTAGAAGACCCTTAGTGGAGACTGCAGTTTTCCTATAAACCTTGAGGTTGAAATCTCTGGTGAGCTTACCTGAAATTACTTTGCTCTAGGCTAACCCCTCACGGCCTGAATTTCTGAGTAAATCTGGCTCGGTAGTGACACATCCTGAAATGCTGAATACAACCAAAGTGGAACCAGGGGTACTAGAAAGTCCAGATGGGTCACAGCGGGTTCTTATTAAGACCAACGTTAGCCAGAGGACCTCATCTGCAAGCCCTCCAACTGGAATAAACTATTTCCAAAGCTACTCAGTTTGTTTAAATAACGCTTCTTGGGTATCAAGAGTCAATCTGCACCAGTCTCAAAAGTCAAGGGAAAACTATGCCAGCTAACCACCTTTAATGGAAATGGGTGTTAAGAATTCCTGCAAACTTAAAAATAAATAAAACTGGTATCTAAGGCAGTCTGGCAGAGATCACTTCCAGAAACAGAGAATGTGATAGAAATTTTGGAACTGACGCTGGACTTACATGGCATGGGTTTATGCTGAAAATTCTATGCCCCATTCTCTCTCGGAAAAGAGAGGAGCATACTGTGTGGGGAGCTTTTTTCCCCCTCCATTCAGCTTACAACCGAGTAGTGAATGTGACCTTCAAACTTCTCTTTAATAAAGTGATAAAATGCAGAACACTGTGATAGGATTTCTGTACTTAGTTTTTACTGCAGCTACTTCTACTTCATCAATTATCTGTTTTTAGGGAAACTAAAAACTCTTTCTCTTTCTGGGTCAAATCCTGAGATCGTGCTGGAGCACTGGGGCAGTTCAAGTTTCCTGATATGACTGGGTAGTAGTCTGGGGCACCTCTGCTCTTGATATTTCAGGGTGATACTACATCAGAACCAATTTTGACAGCTCTTAACTGTTCTGTTAGGGCTCAGAGTCCCCCTCTAAAGACCTAGTATTCATACTAATAATTATGACCAGGAAGAACCATATATTACCTCAAGTTTATATGTTTACCATTTCACTTTATACAGCTAAAATCACTTTGGAGGAACATAATCTGTATATGCACACTAACTCATTGTGCATAATATTTGCCTCTTATAAATATGTGCTAATCACAGCTATAAACTTATCATTTTATCATTAGCAAAAATAAACCTGACTTCTTTCTTAAAATTTTTAATGCAACATTTTTAATTTTAGCAATACACATAATCTGGCTAAGATTTAAGGCCTTCTTATGAGTTAAGAGAAGGCCTTCTTATGAGTTAGCCCCTACAACACTCTGTACAGTGCCCAGTATGGAACCCAGAGTTTGGGAAACTTTCAACCAATGCTTTAAAGAATGAATGACTGAACAAGTGATTAAAGAAAAGAATGAGTTAATTAATGCCAAATGGAGCACTTGGTGGAATATCAGACTGTAACTGTTGAAGGATTCATAGGAAATATAAGAGATCTGCATATAGTTTATTGTATAAACAAAGACCTCGCAGTAGCCTCTTTTCTAGAGCAAGTTTTTCTTAATATCAGAATAAATTTAATGTAATTATCATTAATTATTCTTCTTAATGAGAAAATAAAGTTTTAGAAAAAAGGATTTCTACTTTTAAATGTTTTTCCAAAAAGGAAATCGTTGTTCAGCAAAGAGGCTGAAAGTTGTTTTACAAAGGAGAAAGGGTGCAAAGGTAAAGCTGGGTTCTGACATCCTGGCCCTGTCATTAACTGTAGCCTATGCAATAGAACAGGACATGATTCTACCTCAAAGCACTGGAAAAACTGTGTTAAGATACTAAGAGAGTCACTGGAGTATAGCAAGGTTGGCAGACTGTTGAGTCAGGAAGATCTGAGGTCAAATTTTACTAAACCTCATGACTTGGAGACTTGGTCACTTTTCTGAACCTTAGCTTTCCCAACTGTGTGAAACGTAAAATAATATGAAGCTGAATGAATGCTGATGTGAAGTCATTGTGAAATAATACATGTGAAAAGATTTTGTAAAATGTATAGCAGTATGCTGGTTATTGTGATATCTGAGATATTTTAAAAGTCACAATTTAATTCAACAAGCATTCATCTAGAGTCTGTGTGCAAGGCACTGTGCTAAATGATGGGAAAATACTGCACAGATACAAAATTTTACGCTAGTAAGTAACTAATTGGCCAAAATCTAAATAGTAAAACAGAGACATTTAACAAATCAGAACACTGCTGCCCCTGAGATTTTTTTACTTAAAACATTTGGAAAGAAAAAAAAAATCACAACATGAATTCTATCATATTGTTACCATTAATAGCAGCTTAATACTTAATTAATGTCAGTGTGGTCAGCCAAGTTTTAGAAATTTGGCAATAGAGTGATAAGGGATGGAGAGAGAAGGGGAGGGAGGGCTTCAGTCTTTCTTCTTCTATGGCTGCAACATACAACTAACTGAACTTCAAATAAGCTACCCACCCTTACACTGAAGACTTGATCTTTCTTATGAGAGGACCATACATTGTGGAAGAAGGGAGAAGACTCATTTTTTCCTGCTCAAGCAACTACCTTCTCCAAAGTGAAAGCCCTCTTCATTGAAAAGTGACTGTCATAGAAAAGTTTAAGGACAGATTTCTTAAAAGAGGAGAAAATCACACTATATACAGCAGGTAGTTTACGGCTCTTAAAAAAAAAAAAGTTATAAATACGTATTATAATATAGATAACCAAAGTGGGAAAATTTCAAGCCACAATACCAGTGTTTAAACTGAAACTTTTCAAGCCATCTTAGCAACACTTAAGTGAGTAAACCACATTTCAGAGCTCTAAAGCTGTGCTTCCAAATGCAAAGTGGCCCACCGCCAGGCCTCTGCTATCCAGGCATCCTGTACCAAAAGCCCGGAGGCTCCTGCGTCTCATCCGGGGCTCTGTTTGCCAGGCACGGCTGAAAGGACAGCAGGCCACAGCTGAGCTGAACTCACAGTCAAGGCTGAATTTCCTTAGAGAAATCACTGTGGTTAGAAACCAAGTCAGTCTACCGAAGGTTTCAGGTCTTCAGAAATGTCACGGAAAGTCCTTTAAGAAAAAAGACAGAATGATTAGTTTTGCTTTTAGAAAAATGCGGGGGGGGGGGGGGGGCGGGGGGGAATAAAACCACAGAGATACTTAGAAAAGAAAAATAGCATCTAACCAGTAATTCGCTGTCATATAATATTCCTATAAGTTGAGAGCCTTGGTGCCATTATGTAGTCACTGTTTTTTTTCTTAGCATTTTCACTGAGTATTGTTTCAAAGTCTGATAGTTGTTTCTCAACCTGCAGCAACAAGAACTCTAGTTTTTTTTTTTGGAGGGTCTATCCAAAAGACTGTTTCCCTAGACTCTCTTGAAACTAATGACCATGTGACTAACATCTGGCTAATGAGATGTAAGTAGAAGTGTTGAGTGACTTCTGCGCAATGTCCTTAAAAGAGAAAGGTGATCTTTTCTGACCTTTCCCCCTTCGTGCTGACTGGAAAGTAGACACAATGATGTTAAAGAGAAAAACAATACGAGACTAAAGATTAAATGCTAACTGGATAACTTTTATTGCAAAATAGGAAAACTGATCCAGCAAAGTGCCAGCTCTGAGTGTTGTGGTTCAGAGCAGGAGAAATGGGATAGGACATCAAATGACTGTGTACTTACACTGTTTCTGACCTACATCAAACAAGCCAAGTGAATGTGGCTAACTGGCAGGTAATAACCAGGTTGCATGGAGGGGGTCTGCTGTACTGGGGCCTAACTTAGGACTGTACTAGCTACTTGGCCTTTGCTACATAATTTATCCAGCCAGGTCTGCATCTGTGTTGGCAGCCAAACGGCCAGGTCAGAGTTCATCAATGAACAAGCAAGCACTCATCTTAGATGAAAAGACCTCACACCAAGGCTGACAGAACATCAAGGTGGGGGGTCAGGCTTGGCATGGATGTTTGTGGAACAGACACACTTAGCCCTGGTCTGCCTACCTTTGTCCTTCTTACAGCCAAGAGAGAAATGAACTTCTAGCTGTTAAAGTTCTACTGATGTTTTGAGTTTGTTTGTTTGTGTTTTTTTGGTTATAAAACAAGCAAATCTATCTTAAATGACACAGATATGAAACACAAGTTTATTACCAGAGACAGAGATTGCTTTGCTTCTTTAAAACCATATCACCGATTAGGAGGGTTCGACAGGCAGGCAGAGGTAAAATAAAGGTTAACCCTTTAGCATCAGGTAGGAAGTACTTAAATGTCAAGTGGGGCACAGGTCAAATGATACAGAGCAAAAAAGATTGCATTTGCTCAGTTATCTGAAGGCTCTTTCACTGGATGGTGCCGGAAACCGCGTATCTCAAGCACATCTCTAACTAGCACAGCTCTACATCCAAAGGAACAGCTTTGAGGATGGGGTAAGCTTCCTGGCTATGGTTCCTGTGTCTCTGAAAGGGATTATATATGACATGACTGAACTCACCATGCTGAATATATGCCAATGGGTCAAAGAACTGGAATGAATTTATCTCCTTAAATATTTTTATACTGAGAAAAATTCCCCCAAACTAAGATTTACACACACACGTTTTATGTATCATTGTTGTCTTTTAGTTGCTAGGTCATTTGTGACTCTTTTGCGACCCCATGAACTATAACTCACCAGGCTCCTCTGTCCGTGGGATTTCCCAGGCAAGAACACTGGAGTGGGTTGCCATTTCCTTCTCCAGCGGATCTTCCCAACCCACGGATCGAACCTGCGTCTCCTGCATTGGCAGGCAGGTTCTTTACCCGCTGAGTCACCAGGGAAGCCCTTTTATATGTATTATTACCCATCTATCTCTGTTATCTATCTAATCAAGGTTTCTCAATAACTGCACTGCTGACCACTCTGTGCACTGTGAGAGGTTTAGCAGCATCCCCGCTCCTACTCTCTACAGCTGTGATGATGATCATGTCTCTATACATTGCCACATGTCCCCTGAGAGAAGCAAAGTCTCACCCTCCTCCCCCACAACCATTGCTCTAGATAACTACCTACCTGTTTATTTATATATCTCTTTTTCACAGCCTCACCTGCATTTGTGTACAGGTAAAGCTGGCTACAAGTTGCCCCAGAGCATATGAAATTCAGGTAGCACTCAATTCTGGGAAGCCCTGAAATATCTTTAAAACCAATACTGGTTTACCTATACACAGTAAAGCCACCTGTACACAAATGCAGGTGAGGCTGTGAAAACATATACACCATGGAATATTACTCAGCCATTAAAAAGAATTCATTTGAATCAGTTCTAATGAGATGGATGAAACTGGAGCCCATTATACAGAGTGAAGTAAGCCAGAAAGATAAAGACCAATACAGTATACTAACGCATATATATGGAATTTAGAAAGATGGTAACAATAACCCTATATGCAAAACAGAAAAAGAGACACAGATGTACAGAACAGACTTTTGGACTCTGTGGGAGAAGGCGAGGGTGGGATATTGTGAGAGAACAGCATCGAAACATGTATATTATCAAGGGTGAAACAGATCACCAGCCCAGGTTGGATGCATGAGACAAGTGCTTGGGGCTGGTGCACTGGGAAGACCCAGAGGGATCGGGTGGAGAGGGAGGTGGGAGGGGGGATCGGGATGGGGAATACATGTAAATCCATGGCTGATTCATGTCAATGTATGGCAAAAACCACTACAATACTGTAAAGTAATTAGCCTCCAACTAATAAAAATAAACGGAAAAATAAATAAATAAAACTAATAACCAAAAACTGATCAGTATTACAAAGCATTTTCCAACACCAAAAAGTTTTAAAATTCATTCTTTCATACCTTTTCAAATTTCTAAGATACCTGCAAGCTTCAATCTCTAACTCTTCAATTCCCCTAAATTATGAATGAAAATGGCTGCCTCAGGGCAAAGATGCATGAAATAAGATTAAAACTGTGGTTGGCCTGGTCACTGCTTTCTGTTGACAAGTAAGCTTAGCTGTAACCCTGAAATTCATACCTGCTGTTCAGTTCTGCCTCAAGGCCAAGAAAGCCTCCAGGACTCAGAAGAAAGAAAACACAATGAAGCAAGCTAAGAAAACAGCTAAGTGTTTTCCATCCCAGCAGTATGTTTTCTCTAGATGTTTGGGGTGGTGATGGTGTGTGTGTGTGTGTAAAACACTATAGAAGTAACACTGATCTGAACTGAACCTCAATTACCTCCTGGAAAACAAACTCCATAACCCAGAGATGGAGATATCTCTTCCTGGTCTCATCAAAAGGCATAGCACCAACTAATCCACAGGGCCCCTAAAACCGCAACCCTCTAAATCAGGAAGAAACAAAGGAATGAAAATTGCACTGACTGTTTTTTTCCAGCTGCGTTGCACGGCTTGTGGGATCTTAGTTCCCCAACTAGGGAGTGAACTTGGGCCCTCAACAGTCAAAGCACAGAGTCCTAATGCCAGGGTATTTCTTTGACAGTATTATTTCTGAAAATAGTAAATGTCCTACCTAAACCATCCAAATATAGTATTCTTTCCCAAACCATAAGGATTGTTACGTCCCTTTGAACCAAAGTGGTAGAATTTACCAAGAATAAAAAAAGGTGGAACGGGGCCTCATGTGACTAGGGGGATAGAAGATTGCTGTGAACATTTTACAGTTCCTTTCATTGCAATGGGGATTGTGTGGTGTGATTTCTCACTTGCAATCTTCTTGGTTCCTTGAAAATATTTTGGGATCTGCTTCCCAGGAAGTTTTCAAGGAAATTTTTTTAAAAATCCATTTATGTGAATGCTTAAGTCTTTTCTGATTTAACAACTCTAGCTGTTCAATTGTTGACTCCCAGCTTCCCAGAGAAAGAGTAAATTGTGGGTGTTTACACATGAAAAGCTCACAACTGACTAAGGTAACTTACTTTAGTAGGCTCAGGATAGCCAAGTATGTATTTCCTAAACCCCCACCAGCACACTTTGTGACAGACATGTCATCACTTTTGTACATTCTGCCTCTTCCAAAAATGTGGAATAGAGTTCTAAGGCTGGAGGTTACTATGGCCCATCTTCTTTTATCAGCCTTATAGTGAAAAGATCTTTTAATCTGATCTGCTCCTGGTTTCACTAATCTATTAACTCAACAGATTTTCATTGAGCATTTATCCTAAACTGGAATGATAAGGAGCATACTCCAAATGGAGTCCTCAAAGTTTAGGTAAAGGTCTGAAGGAGTCATGGGTTTTTATGAGAACATATTCATATATTGTTTTACAAAGACAAAAATAACTTCTTGCTCTATTAAAAAGTAGGAGGTGTTAAACTTCAGCTTAATTGCCAAATACTGATCTCCCTTGTCTTATGATGACATTATACCTGGCTTCATACTTAATAATATCCTTAAGACAGCTTCCCTTGTGGTTCAGATAGTAAGGAATCTGCCGGCAAAGCAGGAGACCTGGAAGATCCCCCAGAGAAGATAACGGCAGCCCACTCCAGTATTCTCACCTGGAGAATTCCATGGACAGAGGAGCCTGGCAGGTCGCAGCCCACGGGTCGTGAAGAGTCAAGACATGACTGAGTGACTCATATACATACTCATGTCCCAAGAAACCCACTGTACGTTGAAAATATTTTAAGTCAAAAAAGTATTTCATACACTTAACTACAAAACATCACAGCTTAGCCTGCTGCTGCTGCTGCTAAGTCACTTCAGTCGTGTCAGACTCTCTGTGATCCCATAGACGGCAGCCCACCAGGCTCCCCCGTCCCTGGGATTCTCCACGCAAGAACACTGGAGTGGGTTGCCATTTCCTTCTCCAGTGTGTGAAAGTGAAAAGTGAAAGGCAAGTCGCTCAGTCGTGTCCGATTCTTAGCGACCCCATGGACCGAAGCTTACCAGGCTCCTCCACTCATGGGATTTTCCAGGCAAGAGTACTAGAGTGGGGTGCCATTGCCTTCTCCGATAGCTTAGCCTAACGTACCTTAAATATGCTTATAACACTTACCTTGGCCTGTTGTTGCTTAGTCACTAAGTCATGTTTGACTCTTTTGCAACTCCATGAACTGTATCCCACCAGGCTCCTCTGTCAATGGGATTAACCAGACAAGAATACTGGAAAGGGTTGCCATTTCCTCCTCCAGGGAATCTTCCCCACCCAGGGATAGAACCCACATCTCCTGCATTGGCAGGTGGGTTCTTTACAACTGAACCACCAGGGAAACCCTACAGTTGGGCAAAATCATCTAACACAGAGCCTGTTTTATAATAAGAGTGTTGACTATCTCATGTCATTTACCGAACACTGTACTAAAAGTGAAAGACAGAACAGCTGTCTGGGTGCTGCGTGGCTGGAGGCGTATCAGTTGTATCCCCTTGTGATCATGTGGCTGACTGAGAGCTGCGGCCACCGCCGCCCAGCATCATGAGAGAGTTGTACTGCATATCGCTAGCCCAGGAAAAGATCGGCATTAAAAATCTGAGTACAGTTTCCTCTGAATGTATATTGCTTTCACACCACCACTAAGTTGAAAAATCATAAGTTAAACCTTCTTAATTTGGGAATCATTTGTAATTTCTTTCATAAAAAGATAATGACCTTTGATTGAATTGTGGGTATTAAATTACGGAAGATAATCACAGTCAGGTTGAGATATGCTTCCAAAAACAGTAATGACTTGACTAATAACTCTCTCCCCCAAAAGGTAAAGCTGAGTTCCTTAAAGGACCACCTTCCAGCTGTCACCTCTGGTCACGTCGAGCTGTGGCAGAGCGCAAAGGAAAACTTAAAAACAGCGAACAGCATCCCCAGAGGAGTTCCTGGGATATGCCCTGACTTCCTTCCTACAGGTTTTTCTGAGCTTTAATGTTCAAAGATTGCTGCTCAGGTTTTCGTAGGAATGAAGTAAGTATATCAAATCGAGTCTGATTATTCTATCCAAAAATCAAAGAAGTATTGAGACTTGAAAAGTTGTGATTGCAGGGGTACTATGTCTTTCCCCACACTTCCCAGACAGTCCCAGTGTTAATAGACAACAGGGGAAGCCATAGGTTCTGATTATTGAACTGAGGCCAAAACAGCTGAGAGCCCAAAGCGGTGCTGTGTCGACAACATTTACTGCCACGAAATAGTGTACTCCCCACTGTCAACAGTGAGAAGCACTACATGGGACCTAGAAACAATACACAGAAATAGTTATGCAGATGGATCTTCTCAGCCACCAGTGCCTGCATCCACAATTAGAAGGTCTAATGGAATGAAGACGTTCTCATGTTACAGCATGAGCATTCTAAGACAAGCTGAGCCGTCCATAGCTCACGACCCCACAGACATGATTCCCTCACAGCCCAATCATTCCTTGAACTAGGAAGAGGGCACTGTCGAAGGCTGACGGGTATGTGAACACCTTAGTAACTAATACAGGATAACCCCAGTAACTAAAACGGGCACGACCCGGCAGTAGCAGCAACCACAGTAAAAAGGGAAAAGACAAATAATCAAGTGTATAAATGAAAGTTGTAAAAAAAGGTAGGAGGTGCTATCCTTAAGAGCATTAGACACAGGACATAGCCTAATCTTGAGAGGAGGGAAAGCGCCGATGAACTGACATTTGAGTTGCAATCTGAAGAATGATTAGGAGTTAGGCAAGGAAAGCTAGGGGAGGGGGAGAGTCCGTCCAGACACAGAAAGCAGAGTGTCTGCAGGTCCACGGTTTGAATGGAGCTGCTGTATCTGAGGCCCCGGCAGAAAGCCAGCGTGGTTGCAGCGCTGACAAGGGGAAGATGTTACAGATGCATGAGGCAGGCGCAGGCAGACCACGCAGGGCCTTGGAAGGATTTTGGTCTTCCTGGTAAGAACAGCGGGAGGCCAGTTCTGGTAGAAAAGCATCACGACCAGATATGCCTCCCCTTTAAAAAGCACACATCTGCTCAGTGTCAAGAGACTGGAAGACAGCAAGAGTGGATGCTGAGAGCCTGGCCGGGAGACTGAGATGCCACGAGAGTCCAGGTGAGAAACCCTGTAGCTGGGCCCAGGGTGGGTGGCACTGGAGAAAAAGAGGAAAGGGTGGATTTGAGATGAAACAGGTAGGACTGGGTGGAGATGGTGACTTGAGAAGATAGGAGGCTGTGAGGACGACCACACACAGGCACATGTAAGTGAGGGGTACCATCTACTGAGAAAGGAAACAGAGGAGAATGTCTTTTCCTGAGCAGGGGTGGGCGGATGGTTAAGGAAAAGAAAGATCTCTAGTTGAAAACACACTATCTCACCTGCTTACTTCTATGTGACTACAGGCAGGATAACCTCTCTAAGCCTTGACTTCATCTATAAGACATGGAAAACAACTGTTCCTAACCTCACATGGAAACACTGGACAGATTAAGTAAAATAAGACGATGCAGGTAAAGTTTTATCACAGAACTTGGCACGCTGAGTCCCAGTAAATGTCAGTGGCGGCTGGTTGTTACTATTCAAGAGGTCATTTAGACTTTCCACCAGGAAGTGCTGTGTTGGACACACGATTCCTTCAGGCCTTTTCAAAACCCCGTTAGAGGGAGTTCCCTGGTGGTCCTGTGGTCAAGAATCCATCATCCACCCCGCAATACAGAGAGACAGGGGTTCGATCCCTGGTCGGGAACTAAGATCCCACAGCTTTGGGACAACTTAGCCCGTATGTCTAAGCCCCGCTGCCACAACTAGAGAGCTCCTATGCCTAAACTAAGACCTGATGCAAGCCAAATAGATAAACCAATATATATATACATATTAAAAAAAAAAACATTAGAAGGCATAAACCCACCTTAAAAAAGAGAACATAAGAGGTTAAAAGAAACAAACTTTCAGAAAGTGGAAAGCAGATGAAGAACTGCTATGACCAGCATGACCTAAAAACTGAATCCTAAGCCAGGAGTTATTCAATAAGACTCAGGAATTGGTGATATCAAGTAACTTTGGAAATGGGGTCGAAGGTGGGATAAATACAGAAGGGCTGCTCTAAAGTGTGCCTAAAATGCAGTAAAACCTCATGGGTCCAATACTGTCACCCACGCCTCCACCCAGCCAGGCAAATGCTCCCTGTTACTGGTAGAAACTCGTCCTTTCCTCCTTTAGAGAAGGTAAAACAAAAAATTCTGGACTGGGGGACAACAGGCAGGGATAAGGGTAGGGTACATACTGACAGTGGGAGACTGAGTGAGGATTTACATCTCAAATGCTGTCCGCTCCCTTTCCCTGTCCTGGCGCCCAGAAAGCTGGCAGCCAAGCCACAGACCTCTGAGCAGGAGATTAAAAGAACTTTCACTGAGGCATTTAGCAGCCCCACAGGGAAACCAAAAGGCACTGACATCAACGGCTGCACAGACCAATGGTCCTGGCAGATTATACTATGGTGATACACATAACAACCAACCCACAAATCCTGAGTGGTTCACTCTTCACATAAGCCAATAGTCAAGTGTCGGATACCTGATACTGTGAATATTGTTGCTGCTGTGTTTAAGTCGCTAGGTCATGTCCAACTCTTTTGTGGCCCCACAAACTGCAGCCTGCCAGGGTCCTTCTGTCCATGCGATTTCCCAGGGGAAGAACACTGGAGTGGGTTGTCATTTCCTTCTCCAGGGGATCTTCCTGACCCAGGGATGGAAACTGCATACCCTGCACTGGTGGGCAGGTTCTTTTTCACTGAACCACCAGGGAAGCCCCTAATGTTGTGATTATATTGTGTTAATATGGTGACGGTTAGGGGATATTACAGATGTAATTAAGGTCCCTAAGCAACTGACTTTAATCAAAATGACAATATGTTCTGTGGGCCAGGTCTAATCAGGTGAGCCCTTTGCAAAAGAGTCTTAGCCATCAGTAACAGAGGTCAGAAAAACACTCCTGAAGGCCTGGAGAAAGCAAGCATTGTGTTATAAAATGCCTATGGAAACAGGCAGCCTCTAGGAGCCTCAACTTGTGGCTACAACTGCAAACAAAGGAATTTTGTCAACAACAGGCAAGCCTGGAAGAGGATCCCAATCTGCAGATGAAACCCCTGCCTGAGCTGAGGCCCTGACTGTAGCCTTTGAAGATCCTAAGCAGAAGACCTAGCCAAATTGTACCTGTACTCTGACTCACGCCTTTCATATAAATGTGTTGCTTTATGCCACTTAGTGAAAATTAGCTATATACGATAGAAAACTAACACAGACCTATATGCTAAAAAAGGCAAATTTTATTTACACACATAATATCTCAATAAACCAGACTGCCCAAAAATATGATAGCTCAAATGGAAACCTACAGAGATGACAGCAAGATAAAATTGGAGAAATCATCCAGAAAATGGGAGCCAGAAAGACAGAACCAGAAGAATATCAGAGAAAAGATTTAAAAATGACAAGACCAGTGTAGGCGGGTCAATATCAAAATAAAAATAAGTTTCTGAAAGGGAGAGAGGGAAATCATTAATAAAATAATTGAAGAAAAATTTCAGAATGGCAGAACATAAATTTCCAGTTTTAAAAGTCACAGAGGCACTTGATAAAAGTGCCAATTCAAACACGACAACAAAAATAGATTAAAAAACAAACAAAAAAAAGAAGACCCTATAGGTTTTCAAACATTTGAATTACAAAGAATCAGGAATCAAGAGTAGCCTCAGAATTTCAACAAGCATGAAAGTTAGAAAACAATGAAGAAATAAAGTTACACAGGGAAAAATTCTCTACCCAGACAAGCTACTGAGTAAGAATGACTTTAGAAGAAGCCTTTAAAGACATGTATTATCCCCTAAATTTATCTCCCGTGCATTCCTTCCCAAAAATCTACAGGAGGATGTGCTCCAACAAAAAGCAGGAAGAAATCAAGACAGAAACCAATACTGGGAAATACGATTCCAACACAGGGGAGACCTAAGGGAATCCGCAGGTGACAGCTCTATAGCAGGCAAAAGGATATTCTGTATCTCAACAGACTGCACGCTGGTGAAAACAAGAGACCGATGAGCTCAGTTTCTGATCACTGAGCTGGAACTCACCGCGGAGTCTGAGCAGGCCACGGGGTCTGGCTGGGTGTGGGCATGGAGTTCGTGGGGCTCACTAGCATGGCACTGTAGATATTGGAAGCAACCACGAGTATGCAGAGAAGTATGGGCCCAATGATCGCTCCTTCCAGGCCCAGGTAGTACGCGCCACCAGCCACTGCCAGGCCCGTCAGGTAAGGATGGCCACCTCTGGGGTGAAGAGCACACAGATTACACACAACTTTAACAAAACGTAAGCCCTGGAGTAAGCTGGAAGTACATTCTCTGACATACTGTTCATTCCCTAATACACCCGACTTCTGAACTGCTGATCAGCGCTCTTTAGATCACTTCCATGTGGATATCTGAATATTAATTGTAAAAGTATCAAGATGCAAAACTTTTCCTGCCTACATGTGTGACAATTGCCTTTTCGTAGGTCCGGCGACTGAGGAATAAAGTCAGCAGTGTTAACAGGTACCACTGCATGGCTGTCTGAAGTGGGTTAATGTTAGCTTAGGACTGGTTTATACAAGCTACCTATTAGGTTTACCTTTGTCTAGAATAATTAAGTGGGCAAAATTAAGCATGTAATTCAACTAATTCTGCTTTTTTTTTTAAAAGGTGATAACAATACAATGGCACTCCTATTATTCCTAAATTAGGCTTCTAGCAACCTCCTAAAATACAGATTTTAACACAGGGAGTGATAAAAGGCCTCATGAGAAAAACATCTGTTAGAAAGCCCAAGATTTGTATTTCACAGGAGAGTCATAACTGTCCTCCAGCTTATCACAGGCATCATTTACATAACTGGAATGAGATAACACACAGGCAGACCTCAGAGATATTGCAGGTTTGGCTTCCAGACCACCACAATAAAACCAATATGGCAATAAAGTGAGTCACAAGAAATTTCTGCTTCCCCAGGGTATATAAAACTTATGTTGACACTGAACTGTAGTCTTTTTAAGTGTGCAATAGCATTATGTCTAAAAAAGATGCAAGGTAGCTTAATTTAAAAATATTTGATTGGTAAAAATGCTAAATATCATGTGAGCCTTCAGCAAACTGTAATCTTTCTGCTAGTGGAGCATCTTGTCTCGATGGTGATGGCTGCTGACTGATCAGCGTGACTGGCTGCTGGAAGACTGTGGAGAGTCTGTGACAATTTTTCTTAAAACAAGACAACAAAGTTTTGCTGCACTGACTGACTCTTCTTTTCACTGGTGATTTCTCTGTTGAATGCAATGTTGTCTGAGAGCACTTGAGTCGCCACAGAACTTTTTTCAACACAGGCATTAATCCTCTCAAACCCTGCCTCTGCTTTATCAACCAAGTTGATGTACTACTCTAAATCTTTTGTTGTCATTTCAACAATCTTCACAGCATCTTTACCAGAAGTAGGGTCCAAGTGGCAAGAAACCACCTTCTTTGCTTATCCATAAGCAACTCCTCATCCATTAAAGCCTTATCATGAGATTGCAGTAAATCAATTACATCTTCAGACTCCACTTCTAGTTCTTATGCGATCTGCACCACATCTGCAGTTACTTTCCCCACTGAAGTCTTGACCCTCTTAAAGTTATCTATGAGGGTTGGAATCGACTTTTTCCAAACTTCTGTTAATGTTGATATTTTGATCTCTTCCCAACGCAATATAAGCTTTCTTAATGGCATCTGGAATGGTGAATCCTTTCTAGACGGTTTTCAACTGACTTTACCCAGATCCATCATAGGATCAGTATCTATACTAGGTATAGCCTTATGAAATGCATTTCTTACATAATAAGGCTTGAAAGTTGAAATTACTCCTTGAACCACAGGTTGCAAGAATGCATGTTGTGTTACAGGCATGAAAACAACATTAATCTCATTGAATGTCTCCATCAGGGCTTGCAGGTGACTGGGTGTGTTGTCAGATGACCCATAGTACTTATTCCTTTATTTGGCTGTGCTGGACCTTAGTTGCGGCATGCAGGATCTTTAGTTGATGCATGCAAACTCTTAGTTGTGGCATGTGGGATCTAGTTCCCTGATCAGGGATTGAACCTGGGCCCCCTGCGCTGGGAGCACAAAGTTTTAGCAACTGGACCACCAGGGAAGTCCCAAAGTATTTTAAAAGGAACTCATTTTATCTGAACAGTAGGTCTCAAGAGCGGGCTTAAAATATTCAGTAAACTATGTTGTAAATGGATGTGCTGCCATCATCCAGGTTTTGTTGTTTCATTTCTAGAACACATGCAGAGTAGATTTAGCACAATTCTTAAGGGCCCTAGGATTTCTGGAACAGCGAATGGACAGGCAAGCCTGGTGTATGGCAGTCCATGGGATCGCAAAGAGCTGGACATGACTGAGCGACTGAACTGAATTGAAATGAGCACTGGCTTCAATTTCAAGTTATCAGCTACATTAGCTTCTAGCCATAGAATAAGCCTGTCCTTTAAGCTTTGAAGCCAAGCACTGAAAATCCTAAATGGCACCTTTACCCAATAGAAAGCTGTTTTGTCTTCACTGAAAATCTGCTTAATATAGTAGTCACCTTAATTATTTTTCTTTGCTGGATCTTCTGCATAACTTGCTGCAGCTTCTACATCAACACTTGCTACTTCACCTTGCACTTCTATGTTCCAGAGATGGCTTCTTTCCTTAAAGCATACGAACCAACTTCTGCTAGCTTTAAACTTTTCTTCTGCAGCTTCCTCACCTCTCACACCTTCACATGATTAAAGAGAGTTAGGGCCTTGCTCCAAATTAGGCTCTGGTTTAAGGGAATTTGGTGGCTGGTTTGATCTTCCACCTAGAACATCAAAACTTTCTCCATATCAGCAAAAAGGCTGTTTTGTTTTCTTATCATCTGTGTGTTCACTGGAAGAGTACTTTTCACTTCCTTCAAGAACTTTTCCTTTGCAGTCACAACTTGTCTAACTGTTTGGCTCAAGAGGCCTAGCTTTCGGCCTACCTCAGCTCTCAATATGCCTTGTTCACAAAATTTAATCATTTCTAGCTTTTGATTTAAGGTGAGCAATATCTGACTCTTCCTTTCACTTAACACTTCGAGGCCACTCTAGGGTTAGTAACTGGTCTTCTTTCAATATTGTTGTGTCTCAGTGACTAGGGAGACCCAAGGAAAGAAAGAAGATAGGGGAACGGCTGGTCTATGGGGCAGTCAAAACACATGCAACATCTATCAATTGAGTTTGCCATCTTATATGGGTGTAGTTCATAGCACCCGAACACAATGACAATAGTAACATCAATTCTAGCTAAAACCTTAATATAAAATTTACAACAAAGTTTAAAGAAATGAAAATACTTAACTATAAATCACGGTAACTAATTATTATTTAAATTTCAACTATTAAATGTTAGGAACAAAAGTCCCCCTAAAGTTCACTTATGGATATGCTTGTTTGTTTTTGCTCTGAAACTTTGGGGCTTCTTAGCAGTTTTATATATTTATTTTCTACTTTAACTAGAAAGAAAACAAGGTAGCATATAACTTGTCTCTTCATAATTTCAAATTAACTGAAGGGTCCTCTTCCTATAAACTTTGATCTTGTCTACCCTTATTGTAATGAGTTTTATTTAAAGAAAATTTAATATATTAACTACGACAATAGTTTAAGTAGGTCATATTCTATATCTGAGTAGCTGAATAAAATTCAATTATTTGGTCACATTCTAGATTCTAATAAGCAATGTTTATCTTGATATGTGGCTAAATGAAAATCAGCTTGATTTAGTAAATGCAAATTGCTAAAAGACACATCAAAACCTACAAAAATGACATATTTATTATATTGCTAGTTTGGCTTCTGCCTTAAATTTAACCTGTACTCATCATAGAACCATACTATAGTACCTTAAGTAAGAAAGAAAGTACCGTTTCTCAGATACAAACTTATGAGATTTCATTTTACATGGAAATCCTCATACAATCTAAAAATGTATTTATCCAAAAGCAAAGAAGTTCTGAAAATAACTAACTTCTTACTGTACTTAAAATATTCTTATTTTGAAGTATGTACAGGAGTACTTTTTTCCTACATTAAATGTCACTAAACCAGGGATTATTCACAATTTTACTTTATTGTAAATAAAGTCTCATATATTGTAAATATATTGTAAATACTACTTACTAAGAACAAAATAGAATACCTTGCAAATGATATTAATCATATAAATTAAACTTTGATCACATCAGTGGGATCACAAAAGATTACGTCACTGAAGTGATTACTATCACCTGTCCTTTCACCCATGCCCAAAAGCAAAAGGAAAAAAAAAAAAACCTTCATAAAAAAAGGCCAGAGAAATTCCTGGATATGATTCATCACCAACTGCAGAAGTCCAATACTTACCCTGATATATCAGAGTAGATGGCAGTATCTACAAAGTAGGTTGGCAAGAGATGAAAAACCAACAGTAAGATGGCTTTGCATCCTAAGCCTTGGGTAAGCCACAGATCAAGAACTGCAGGTACTGCTGCCCAGTATGTGCCCAGAAATGGCACTGCTCCAAGGATTGCTGCTAAGGCTAATACAAAGAAGAAGCAACTTTAACGTCATCATCAAAGCAATACCAATAGCAGAATCTAAACACAAGCTCTCGCTGTTTAAAAATTTCCACCAGAACAAGTTAAACAAACACATGCTCAAATTTTAGGGTAACGATATGCCTTGTTTAACTGAATCTGCTGTTAAATAAAACCCAAGATCTTAACACTGGATCATGAAAATCCTTCTTAAGTGTGTGGTTACTTCTCCTCTTAAGTCACAAACGTTCGTGTCCCACAGCTGTTATTCTCAGTTGATGGCTAGTTAATACGTATGTAGTTGGCCTCAGAACCCTCAGATGTGGAACCTGCAGGTTCAGAGAGCCAAGGTACCCGAGCACCCACAGATTCTGGCATCCTCAGGGGGTCTCAGAACCACTCCCTCAGGGACACCAAAGGACGACTGCTCAGTCCTATGACATAACTGGACAGCACTGGCCAAATATCTGTACTGAGACCAAAGCCAAATCAGAGATTAGTTTCTAAATCTCAGATGAGAACATACATTCCTTACCTTGCTTCTTTCTAATAAAGTGTATCTAAAAGCAAAAAAACAAAAAAAACCCACCACAAATAACCTCGCTAGTTGAAGGACCTTACTCCACAATCAACCCTTTTCAGAATAGTATGTTCATTTGACAAATAAATATTTGTTGCTCATGCAGTGTTCACTATGTACCGGGTATTATTCTATCTACTGGGGACTCAGCAATAAACAAACACTACAAATCACATTTCTGCTGCTAATCTAGACTAGATATCAAAATTTAGCACTTCAAGTTTGACGAAGATGACAATACATGTAAAATGGTTTAATGTTCCTTAAATAGAGCACAGCAGAAGTTATGATACAATTGTTACCTGATGGTATGAAGACAATATTGATGCCAAATATAGTATGAGTCAGCCAGGTATATAATCCATAGAATCCAGCCATTTTGAGGGAAGCATCAAACACCCCTCTAGAATGTCCAAAGATTAAAGTGGAAACAAAATAAACACAGTATCATACTGGGATTCAGAAAAATCAATTATTTCTAGGCTTCTGGCTAATTTATTCCAAATCTGATAATAGCTTCGATTTTTCCAGTGGCCTGAGAATGCTATTTTCATTTTATTTCAATAAAACATACAAATCTTCTATTTAAGCCTTGAAATAGATTTACTAAACTGTTCTTTAAATTTCTCTAATGAAAAGATAACAGAAAAACCTTAAGATACCCTATTCACTGAAATAACTCATCAACTTTTCACTTCTGAAGCAGATTACTCACCACCAAAATAAAGAGAAAGAAAAATAAGTGTGATTATCTTATTTCTGAGGAGGTAATTAAATTCTGAGACATCCAGGCTGTGACCAGCCCTCCCCTCGGGAAAAGCAAGTGAAGGATAATATAACTGGTACTTTATCAGTTTTTCTTCTTTTGTTAACAAACTGTTTCCACATTTCTTAAACCATGCAACCCAACTTACAAAGTAACGTCTAAAAATGGTATCAAACATCGCAGGTCACTTGGAAAGAATTTACAGAAAATAAATCTTATGAATTCCAAAGTAAAATCAGAGATTAAAATACAAGAGGTGTAAAAACAGACACACATATTCAGTGATTAATAGGAATGAAAATATGCAACCTCGGGTACTTCATTTTTGTGTTTCAGTTGGAAGACTTAAGGTAGGACTGTGTTAAGGAGGAGAAATAAGGAACTGCTCAGAGAGAGCACAAAGGCAACAAACCTAAAATCATCCCAAGGTATCACAAAATCACAAAAACAAGGCATCTGTGGGGTTCACGGGAGGCACGCTCACACGCTCAGGAGAGAAGGACAAGCTGTCTGTAACTGAAAAAGCAGGGACCGTGGCAGCAAAGGCGACGCTGTCTACACAGAAGGACACATCCAACTTTCTAACGCATCCCAAGAGCTGTACTCTGAGAGTAAAGCCAAGCTCTGGAGCCCAGTGATTCAGGCATTCCACGCCGGCCTGAGACACGGACTTGGGGACAGAGTGGCTCCCCAAAGTGTAAAATCTCGTCGTGCCGACCAGCGGCTTTCACTCAAAAATATCTTAAAGGTGCTGTATGACCTCTGACAATAAAGACACAGATGGAAGAGGTATCAGAAACACTGAAACAAAGGGACGTAGCCTACAGGAAATACAAATGATCTGAATAGAAAACATGGAAGAAAAAAGGAACATGAGAGACTTGGGTTTTAAACCTGAGGGAGAAAGAATGGCAGTGTATCAAAGTCATGGAGAATCCCAGAATAGGAGAGAACTTGGAAGAAAAGGGAATATGTTTAGTTGGGCCAAGTTTAGCCAAAAAAAGGATGATGGAAATACCCTGGGGGTAGTTGGAAATAAGAGACAAGGCTTAACAGCAAACTTGGGACAAGAAATTTGAGATATGCCAGAAAAATCCTAATCATAGGAAAGGGTAAGATATCCCAAGGAGTAAGCCTAGAAAAAATGGGGCAATGAGCTGTATTCTCATAAGGGACCTAAGGAGAAAGAGACACTAGTCAAAGAGATAATGAAACCATTTTTCTAGTAGGAAGAAAATCACTGTAGTATGCTATTCCCAGAGGGCTTCCCTGGTGGCTCAGAAGGTAAAGAATCCACCTGCAATGTAAAGAATCTGCCTACAATGCAGGAGACCTGCATTCAAACCCAGCGTCAGGAAGATTCCCCTCGAGAAGGGAATTGCTACCCACTCCAGTATCCTTGCCTAGGAAATTCCACGGGGCCACAAAAGAGTCGGACACAACTTAGGGACTAAACAACAACAAACCCAATTGGGAAAAGGATCTGCCAGCTCCCTTTATTACAACTCCCTCCCTTGCCTGATTTACCAGCCACCCCAGAGACCCAGTTTCACAGTAAATCGGACAGAAACTTGGTTGACGCTGCAATTCCAGAAGGGGAAAGCACGCTGTGCGCACGGATGTAGCGTGCTGCTAAGTGGCTCAGGATGGGCTGCTCCCGTGGACACCTTCCGTCCGCACTGGAAATAAGCGTGAGCCACATACACAAGCCTGTGACAGAGGCATCACATGAAACCATGTGGAGTCCCTGGTAGTGGTAAATATTAATTCAATACTTTTATATAGTTAATACATGGTTTTGTGTCTTTGACAATGCCTACCAATCATGTGCTACTTACTCCTCTAGCACTAACTAAAAAAATCAATAAGAGGTTGTTTCAATTACATGCACAAATAGCTAACATTTGTATCTCAACACTAGTTCTATTATAAGACTAATAAAATGAATTTAGCAACTTTTAAAGCACCACAAAGAGAAACTAAATATGAAGTTTTTAAAAGGCATTTATTTCCCTTAGAAACCTGAAGCAAAGTTTAGGCTTATTAGGTTGCTCTTTAATCAAATAAGTGAAAAAGGCATTATATTTACTGACTTGGTTATTATTTAAGAACTCTAGCTTAAATTATTAATAAATTACTTTAAACAAATTAATTTAATTTCCCCAAATATGTGTGAAATTCTGCCTCTCTATTACAGCATTAGGAAATCTCTTCAAATAAGTGAAAATATATTTTCTTACAGCTTTAAACTCTTCCTTATACATTTCAATTTAAACAATATTTATAATCTTAAATCTATAACAATTTCCAATGAATATTTAAAATTTAATATTTCCAGTGAAAACTGGAAATACTGATTTACTAAATGACTGACATTGATTTCTATTAACCCTGGTATTTTTAATTCTGCAAAACTAGAGTTGGGAAGCATGTTTACTTTCCAAATGAAAATCTCACAGTACACACATTCTCCCATCAAATTGATCACTAGGACCCCCCCACACACACCGGCCCTGAAAAGCTGTAATCCCACAAGCAAGAGCCATACCCGTGTGCATGCACTCATGTGAAAATATCACACACACTAAATTGCACTGAGGCCGTGACAACATGCAACTTAGTAATGTGCAATATCTCCACCAGAGCAAGCAGAATGGAGCATCGGGGAAGAAGGGTGTGATGCAAGCATTCAGGACACGACATGCTCTCAGGGGAGGGACGGAACGTGGCTTGAGGGTAAAGGATGCATGCCACTAACTCAAAAATCCATGAAATGTAAACCCGACCACAGATGTGGTCAGCATAGAGGAACACTTATCCAGAAAGTATGGAGAAAAATAACAAAGGTTCAGAAATTCAATGGGACGGTGTTTATATCAATAGCCACATAATTCAGAAGGCAAAGCTTGAAGAACAAAGACACTTTCACTGTCTGGACAGACATGCAGTTCACTCCCAATTTCAATTCCGCTTTTTACCTTCTTAATGAATAATGTGAAATGAGTCTAATAATTCACTTAAGTGCAACAATGATGATGACTGGTGATCGGTGCTTATAAAATCTGATATAACCGATAATTTACAGACTAAACTACAGTCTCAGGACATTGTGATAATATTTTCACGGTCATGTATGGAATATTTTTCCCTCTTAAAATCTTTCTCCATGAGGAAACATATTCCATTTTGAATATAATCCCGAAGAATGAAAAAATTGACAGGAGTTTGTGGAACTAGAGCTCGTTGTTATCTTATATACATGAGAAATTTCTTCAGAGCCATCTATGCAAAACTGCATATTTTAAGTCTTAAATTTGACCCAGTAAAGAAGTAAAAAGCACTCAGACTGCTAAAAATCATCCTGAATTATAATCTGTAATTTATATAACTATAGCTGTGCTTAGAAAAATGGTCCAGCCTGTAACAAGTTATCTTGTCTGCACCATATTTTTCAGACTCACAGAAATCTATCAATTTTGAGAACAATTAGGATTATTGTACTGCTCCTGAGGGTTGTTAATTTTTTTTTCCATATTAAAAATAAAAATAAAATGAGTGGGTTTTGTATGAGTACACATTAGAACCAAGACATGGGCTCCTGTTATAGCACATAATTAATGTGTACGATCCCAAGAAGATAAAGCAAATTTAACCTGTAAAGAGACATATATTTCCTCATATTGCTGTAGATGACTATACTCTCTCTAACCTCAAATTCCTTCCTGAACCAAAGACCTCAATTTTTAAAAAATTTTCACTGAAATACAGTCAGTTTACAATGTTGTGTTTGCTTCAGGTATACAGTAAAGTGATTCATTTATACATTATATATATATATTTCCACTCTTCCATTATAGTTATTACAAGATATTGAGTGTCCTGTGCTATATTGAGTGTCCTGTGCTATGCAGTAGGTCCTAGTTATTTTTTATATATGGTAGTGTGTATATTTTAATCCCAAACTCCTAATTTGACCCTCTCCATATCCCCTTTGGTAATCGTAAGTTTGTTTTCTCTGTCTGTGAGTTTATTTGCTTTGTAAATAAGTTCACTCACACCCCTTTTTTTAAGATTCCATATATAAGTGATATCACATGGTATTTGTCTTTCTCTGCAAAGAACTGAATTTTTAGCTGCTGGCTTCATGTGTCCAGCTGAATAATGTTAACAGTACCACAAATTTAATTCATCACTTTTGACACAACCACTCCCTCCTGGAAGAAAGCATCATGGTATACCAGAAGAATGTGTGACCTCCATCCGCTGGATGTGGGTGCAAATCACAGCTCTACTTACCAATTCCAAGAAACCATGACATGAAAGAATAATGTTTAAAACAAAGGAGATGGCATTATCTGGTGTGGAAAAAAATGACTCAATGATAGATATTCAGAGGACAGTCAGCTATGCTAACAAAGGTTATATCAGGAAACTGTAGTATCTTTCTTTAAGTTCTTTATAGACAAGCTAGATAATTTTCTCTAAGACTTGGCTTAAGTCACATCACTTGGAGGATTCTGACAGCCTTGATACGGTTGACTCATAAATTTACCCTACTGGGAAGACAGAAAGTTATTTTTCCTTTTTGGTAAGAATATTGGCATAAACTTATCTGAGTCAGACAGATGTCACTTAGACAAACGAAAGTTAATCTGTTGCAAGATTAATAAAGATGATAATTGAAGGTCAAATAGGCTTAGAAGGGTTGCTGAAACCAAAAAGTATCTTTTCTGAAGACAACTTCACCCTGAAAGGTGTTACAGTAGACAATATAGTCTCAAACTTGGAATCATTACATGGAAGGCTCCAGGTGAATACCTGGGAGCACCAAAGGGGATAAGAGTTTTTTTGTTTTTAATCCCACTTACTGTCCAATAACGGCTTCCCAGGTGGCTCAGTGGTCAAGAATCCACCTGCCAGTGCAGGAGACGAAGGTTTGATCCCTGGGTCAGGAAGATCCCCTAGAGGAGGAAATGGCAACCCATTCCACTATTCTTCCTGGGAAATCCCATGGACATTGGAGCCTGGTGGGCTACAGATCATAGGGTTGCAAAAGAGTCAGACAAAACTTAGTGACTAAAACAACAACTGTCCAATAAAGTCTAGGAGGAAAAAGGGGAAAAAAACCTAGCAAAGTTTCCAGAGAAAAACACAGTTTAGGTGCATGCATGCTATTTGAATGTAACCAAGGAGTTTCCAAAGATTAAAGTGGTATCCTCATCTGCTGTTACATGAACACAGTGAAAAAAAAAAGCCAAAATCAGTCAGACAAAATTATCAGGTAAAATCAAGATTTCTGTGGAAGACTAGAAGAAAATTACCATTTTCTTAAAAGTATGTGGAAACAGAAATGCCAGCCAAAGATTCACTACTGAGAGAAGCTTTAGACTCCTAACAACTTATTTAAAAAAAGAAGCTCTCATGGATAACATGAGCACTTAATTTGAGTAGCTATTCAACAGAAGTCAAAATGATGTAGAGTCTTCTTAACGAGTTAAGAATAATGAGGGACAAAGGTTGGCGAAGGAGCTCAAACAAGGCTGCAAGAGGCCTCTGCCTACCTGACATGATGAAAAGGAAAAGGGAGTCAGTGACTTGGAAAGAGGATATGAAGAACAAAAGTTGAAGAATCAGCTCATTCAAAAGTGAAGCCTGTGATACATTTTTATCAGATGACATGATGGAAGTTTCTGGCCAGAACCTATGATACACACAGAGCCTATGACTTGGAGATAACTCCAAATGTCTCATTTCTAGGATCCAAAGGACCCCCTGCAGAGGGCACAGCCTGGCTGCACAGGGCAACGGGAAGAAACAGGAAGGCCATCTACTGTCCTCCATGAGCAAGGCCAGAATTCCTGAGAGTACCAGGAGGCTTCTGAGAGAAGGTGAGGTGTGGTGCACGAGGGGCTTCGCCTGAATGAACCCTGTGGTGATTAGGAGCTGGAGTAAGAGCCTGCGGATGGAAAGCTGATGGGGACAGGCCACTAGATCTTTGCACATCACAGACTCGAGCGCAGGACACTGAAAATGTTTTACGTGATCCTCACGAAGGAGATTTTAAAAATTTGAAAACCCTAGTGTCGCTCAGTCATTTAGCACTACGAAGGCTCAAGGCAGAAAAACAGGCCTTTCATGGAGAGCAGTTTCCGAAGGAAGTAAGAACAGCATAAATCCTATCCCTACCTGATAGCTTCTTCCACAGACTGGCCAATAATATTAGAAGAAGGACCTGGCTGAGATAGTGGTGTCAGGCTTATTACCCACTTCACGGGCTTGTAGTACTCATCACTGGAACTTAACAGATAAAATAGTGTGGTCAGGAAAATTATCTGCAAAACAAAGGACAGTATCTCCTAAAATATCACATTTGGAAACTACAGGAAGGAAACACAAGTGGAACCAAGAATATGCTTTGCTGTGGAAGGCGTGACACGCACTCATCTGTGTGGACATACCAGCGACAGGACGAAGTTGAGGAGGGCAGTCCCGCTGTAGAAGAGGATGGTCAGGAGCGTGGTGACGGTGGTGAAGAGCAGACTCACGTTCCGGCTCATGACGATCCACAGAGACTCTAAGATCTGCAAACATGTGAATGATGCGTAGTAAGGAAAATGGTTAAGTAAATTATGGTGAACCTACTACAAACGTTAGGCAGCCGTTAAAACAGCCCTGCTATAACACAGAAATATACTTTACGATATAATGCTCTGTTTAAAAAACCAGACACAAAAAGTTTACACACGGCATGATTATAACTATGTGAAAATGGCACACAGAGAAAAAAATACCTACAGGAGAATATGCCAGAATGTAACCTGTGATTGAATGTAGCTTGGAGGACCACAAGTGCAGGCCATGAAATTCTAATATTTGTCTTATTAGTTACCTCCCCTACCAGCTTGCCATCTCCAACTTAGAACAATCGAAAAATATAAAAAGATCACTTCAATGACTTCAGTAAAGTCACAATAACAGAAACGAACTGAACTCACAAAATCAAAATGAACAGACGGGGTCCGAGCTCTGCAACTGAAAATCTTTCCTCAGGTAGATATGACCCTACATTAAGACCTACTGAGTTCATTTGATCCACCAGTAAATTCACCAGAACCAGATATTAATACATGTTAAATATTATAGAAAGAAGATGTATAATATTTATAGCACGCCTACATGTTTCCATTTCCTATCTCTTCATGAACTTAAAGTCCTACTTGATAATGTCCGTTCTATTATTATCCCCAAGAGGACTACTGTATCTACTACTGTGGGCAAGAATCCCTTAGAGGAAATGCAGTAGCCCTCACAGTCAACAAAAGAGTCCAAAATGCAGTGCTTGAGTGCAGTCTCAAAAATGAAAGAATGATCTCTGTTCATTTCCAAGGCAAACCATTCAATATCACAGTAATCCAAGTCTATGCCCCAACCACTAACGCTGAAGAAGCTGAAGTTGAACGGTTCGATGAAGATCTACAAGACCTCCTAGAACTAACATGAAAAAAAAAAAAAAAAGTCCTTTTCACCACAGAGGACTGGAATGCAAAAGTAGGAAGTCAAGAGATGCCTGGAGTAACAGGCAAGTTTGGCCTTGGAGAACAGAAGCATGACAAAGGCTCACAGAGTACTGCCCAGCGAGCACACCAGTCATAGCAAACACCCTCTTTCCAGCAACACAAGAGACGACTGAACACATGGGCATCTCTGGATGGTCAATACCTAAATCAGATTGAAGAGGACTATCCTCCCTCTTAATGAAAAACATAGAAGCAAGATGATCAGAAAAACACCTTCCATTAGAGCTTTCAAAATGCTCCCCTAAACCTCACAGCGAGGTAGCGAGGGAAGCAGTGGAGATGATATCATCTTTGTTTTACAGATACACAAACTGAGGCTCAGGGATTTTAAAAAACTTGCCCAAGGGCCTGAAGCTAATAAGTGGAACCAGAGCTGAACACCAGAACTCCTAATATCTGGTTTTATTTTGGTGCCCTTTCCAAAAGAGAAATTCTGTTTTCTGTCCTATGTCCAAGTTACACCATCTGTTCTATGAAAGGCCTATCCATTCCTTTCCTGCCTCAAATGTACAACTTATAAAAGGCATATTTTATTGTCCTTGGTGTTTCTTGCAAACCTCAGCTCAGCCTTCATGAGAGGAGTTTGGAAGGCTAGTTTCATTTACAATAACTCCTTACATAAAATCTTGCAAATGCTTCACGATGCCTACAAAAATATGCATGACTGACTGACTGACCTTGTGGGATAAAGAATGAATGAATAATGCCACTGATTCTAAGAAACAAACCAACAATGCCCTTACTTGTGATTTTGACAAGCACTCTTTTGGAGAATTCAGTCTTTTGGAATTTTTATTAAAAATTAAAAAAAAAAAAAGTTTCTGGGTCATACTGATAGGAAACACTCTGCGGTAATTCTTAAGAAATTAACGGAATACATTAACTGTAGACTGGTAGTTGCCAGTAACTTTTCTATGTACTCAAAGGGATTAAGAAGAAAGGTTCAGAAAATAAGAAATAGATGTTGGGTATTATAAAACTAAAAAACTGAATTAAGGGCTGACCTTGACAGTTTCTTAAAATTTTTTCTGATGAGATAGGTGGTGATGTTAAAGAATGTGACTTTTTTTAATACTGCATAATAAAATATGTTAATATTTAGAATATATATGTCAATATTTAGAAATTAGTGAACACTGATTCCAAATGACCAGTGCACATTACAAAATCATGTAAGGGTGAAAGATCCATTCCTAGCCAAGACAGATTCATGGACCCTAATATAAGAGAGTAGAAGTTCACACTGCAACTAACCTTAAAGAAATACCATCTGTTGAGTGACATAGTGTCAAAGAACTGTCACAATGATCTGAAAGGGTTATTAAAAGACTTCCCTCTCTTTTCCAACTACTTATCTGTGTGAGGCTGGATTTTCCTCACATACTTCAACCAAAACAACATATTCCAACAGACTTGAGTAAAGGAACAAGTATGAGAATCCAGACATTAAATAGGTTTGCAAAAATGTAACAAAAGTCACGCTTATCACTAAATCATTTTGTTTTGGAACATGGTTATTTTTCAAACACAAAAGCATGTTTTTTATGTCAACAAATAACATTATATTTTAGTGAGCTGTTAAATATTTTTAAAGTTTTCGGTTTTAACTGCTAATACAATAAATACCAATAGAATGTACATCAGCAAAAGTTCTTTGGAGCTCTCAGACCAAAAAGTTTGAGAGCCACTGAACTAGAGAAAAGAAAGGGAAGAGATTATCAAAAGCAACATTCTTAGAATGGAAGGACATGAATTTCTAGATTTAACTTCAAACTATCACAGCTATATTAGGCGACTGGGAGGACGGGAAAATGTGAGTGCAGGAATGGGCGAAGGGCCCAACAGAGTCGTAAGAAAACCCCAGGGGAGCAGTAAGGAGGCACTGAGAGACTCATATCTTTATCTTCCAGGTCAGAAGCCGAAGATAACACTGTGAAACCAAGAAAGAGCAGCATAAACATTGTTTTAGAAATTTAGAGGTAAACACACAGAGAAAGTTAAAAGAATGGAGCGCTCTGGAGAATGAGATTGAAGGCAGGAAGCTCAGAGCAGGGGCAATGCTATCCATTACTTAACACCTTAAAGTATCTTCGACCTTTCAGCTATGGTCATCTCTTGTTCTGATAAAAACTAAAATTTAAAAACATCTAGCACAGCAAACCTCCACTTTGTAAAAAATTTTATTTTTTTTAAGATTTTTTTTTTTGATGTGGACCATTTTTTTGGTTTTTGTTTTTAAACTCTTTATTGAATTTGCCACAACACTGCTTCCATTTTGGTTTTTTTTTGGGCACCGAGGCATGTGGGGTCCTAGCTCCGGAACTAGGAATTGAAGCTGCACCCTCTGCACTGAAAGGACTTTTCCCAACCACTGGACCACCAGGGAAGTCCCAAACTTCCATTTTTATTAACATCATAAGAGTTACAAGTTTATTCACAAGAGAGGATTTCTCACCTCTGTGAAAAGCCATGGGCCGAGAGGCCTCACAAAGTATGCTATGGAGTGAAACTCACCAACACGGCAAACTGTTCCTTGCTGCCTCCAATCTTTTGGAAAACAAGGCAGAGGTGGATGGCGCATGAAGGGAGGACAGGAGCGATGACAGAAATCTAAACCTTTAAACATCCAGTCTCTCTATTGTAACTGGAACCATATTTCTATCTGCCAAAGGACTTCGCCAACCAAAGGCAGCTCCCTTGCTAGTGGTTCAACTAGGGGCATTCTGATCAGTCTAGGCGATGAGGACCCCATTCTCAGAACCCAGGAGCCACAGCATCGTGCAAGCTTCCTGAGTCAGCATCTCTTGGTTACTCTTCAACCATAGAGGAGGTATCAGGGGAGCTACATTTGAGGCCTACGGCTTTTGGACATCTTTCTGGTGCATTTAGAATTCTCAAAACTGCAAAATCTCCTGGCATTAAAAACAGGGTAATGAAAGACATTTACGTGTGTGAAAAAAACCTGTGAATTACAGTTTGTTTTTTCCTAAGTTCAATTTAACTAAAAAATACTATTTCTTACCGAAAGAAAGGTCTCAATGTTCTCATGGACAAAGGAAGCGATATCCTGCCAGTCGAGAATGTCCCCCAGCCAGCTATTCTGACGACTTATGTGCAGCTTGTGTCCTCTGTGCCTTCCAGAGTGCGATACGTTCTATGGAATAAAACAGTTCAGACATGAAATCCCCATCTTAACCTAAAGACAAGAGGACATATAAATAGCCTACTGTGTTTCACGTCCACTAGAGCAGTTTAGTAAATACACAGAGGTGAAAAACTTTGTATTATAACAGAAATTAACAAAGAACGCCATCAAAAAGACCTGAAATATATTTTTCTGTTTACATTCTAGCTAGTGTGTCTCAGCCTAGCTTAAATGCATCCCTCCTAAGCATGTTCCCACACTTTACTTGCCAGTATATTCAACTGAACATGAACACAGCATATACTTTCATCTTATTTCCCCCCCCTTTCTCCCCTCTAACCTTTCTTTTAGTCTCCCATTTTTGCTTTTTCCCTCTTTTCCTCATCTACCTTATTACTCTTCCAAACAAGCTAAAGAGAGCAGAGAGAAATAAAATATGAAAAAGTATAGCCAAAAGCAATATTAACTATAATGGTATGTATTAATCATATCTCAATAAAAGAGGGAAAAACAGAACATGAAAGAGAAAGAAGGGTGCAGAGGAGAAATCTAACTTGCCTATCTGGAAAAGAATTACTTTGGCAGATATGCAAGAATAAGAGATGTGAAAGGGTGATGAATAAACAAAGTGACTGGTAAGGTTAACATTTAGAAATAGAAGTCGATTCTTAACATTTTGCATGTCTTTCCATTTTCACACTTTTCCAAAAAGCCCAGGGATGCCAGTCTTCATTACCAATGAAAACGTTAGGTCCTAATAAAAGAGGGAAAGAAAGCAATGCACTTACCCACTTACAAACCTATGCTTTTAAAACACTGACCTGACCTCCCTGGACCATTCAGGAAACTCAAAGTGGGTGAGGGATAGTAAAAGCTGTTTGTGTGTAAGCAGAAGCCCCAGAATTAGCAGAAGAAACAGATACAACCTTTGTAATTAGCTCTTCAGCAGGTCTATGTACCCAGAGATTCCCCAGTTAGGTTTTGTTTGGTTTTAGTATTTATTTATTTATTTGGCTCCACTGGATCTTAGTTGTAGCTTGTGGGACCTTTAGTTGCACGAGGCAAACTCTTAGCTGTGGCATGTGGGATCTAGCTCTCTGCCAAGGGATTAAACCTGGGCCCCCTGCACTGGGAGCTCAGAGTCTTAACCACTGGACCACCAGGAGGTGCTCCCAGTTAGTTTTAACTCCCAATTTTTGAAAAACCCACAAAACCCATCACCATTCCTTCAACTTCTCCTAGGCGGGGGCCAACAAAAGTCCATCTAGTCAAGACTATGCTTTTTCCAGCAGTCATGTATGGATGTGAGAGTTGGACTAAAGAAAGCTGAGCACCAAAGAATTGATGCTTTTGAACTGTGGTGTTGAAGAAGACTCTTGAGAGTCCCTTGGAATGCAAGGAGATTCAACTAGTCCATCCTAAAGGAAATCAGTCCTGAATATTCAATGGAAGAACTGATGCTGAAGCTGAAACTTCAATACTTTGGCCACCTGATGTGAAGAACTGACTCACTGGAAAAGACCCTGATGCTGGGAAAGATTGAAGGTGGGAGGAGAAGGGGGCGACAGAGGATGAGATGGTTGGATGGCATCACCGACTCAACAGACATGAGTTTGAGCAAGCTCCAGGAGTTGGTGGTGGACAGGGAGCCTGGCATGCTGCAGCCCAAGGGGTCGCAAAGATTCAGACATGACTGAGCGACTGAACTGAATTGGCAAGAACACACAATGCCAAACAGGTCACTAGGGAACATATGCAAATTTTCAATTGCGCCCTCCTCCCTGCTCCCCAAGTTAACTCTGCCCGACTCGATCTCTCTCCCCCTGCATGGGCATCTTCCACAGCACAGTCCTGATGGCCCATGGGCCCTGCCAACCCAGTGTACAGAATGGCCTGCACAACTACCTGCTTTCAAACTGTCATTTTTATATTTAGTAAAAATTGATACACATCAGTACAAGTAGCACTAAAAGTTTATTCAAAATAAAACAATTATCTCTAAACTTTCAGATCTATTTTCACTTCCTCAAAGAAAAAGTTCTTAATGTCCAGAGCTGTACTGTCCCAAATAGTAGTCACTACCCACTTGTGGCTACCGAGTACCTAAATATGCTCCTAGTGTAAAAGATAAACCAGACCTCTAACACTTAGAATGGAAAAGATTTTATATGTATGTTATATATAAAATATAAAATCTCATTACTTTTTCATTCATCCCATATGGAAATGACATATATTGGGTATACTGTGTTAAGTAAAATACATTATTAAAATGAATCTCATCCATCCTAGATTTTTTTCTTTTTTTGTTTTAATGTAGACACTAGAAAGTTAACATTACATATACGGCTTGCATCACACTTCTACTGCACAGATCTGGTTAAGAGAATGAGACACTATTGAGGACAATGAAAAGCAGATAGAACACCAATAACAGAGAAACTGTGTGTTCTGCCACGGAGGTTAATCATCAATTCAAGCTGACCTTTAATCACCTGAGGTTTAAGACCTTGCAGCTTAAAAATGTCAATAAATGAAATCCCAGGGTTAACACAATCCGACCTAGTCAATGAGTCCATAAAAGGACACTATTAGTTTACAACTGAAATTCTTAGCTAAAATAACTTACCTTTACAAACCAAGAATGATACAGCCTATCCCAAAGTTCTAATACTTGTTTTTCAATTACAGCTGTATTATTCACCTTATCTCCAAGAATTTTATGAAGCTGGAAGGAATACAGATATAATCTGAGTTAGTGTTTCAGGCAACAATCCAGTAAAATTAATACATGCTGGTCTTTACATTTGTTCCAAATCAAACTAAAGTGTCCCAGACTATTTAATTGCCTCCAACCACATTGTTCTTTCCTTAAACTTTACTTGGTATTTCCAGTAAATACTCTCTCTCTGTCTTTTTGCTTCTTTATTATTTACTTTATTCTTAGGTCTCTAAGAAAACTTCTTTAGGTCTCAAGAGAACGAAGCCACGCTTACTGACTTTTCTGATCTCATCTGCCCAGAAAAAAATCTTTTCCAAGTGACCCCGGTGCTCATCCATTACATGGAAGTGTCATGTTACATTTACCACTAGTGTTAGAATTACCACACAACTTTTAAGTAAAATTTTAGAACCTTAGCTAGAAACACAAATCTTCCTTTGAATATGCTGAGAAATGTTAGGTCTCAGTGTGTGTTATTTGCTTAGTCATGTCCAACTCTGCAACCCCATGGACTATAATCTGCCAGGCTCCTCTGTCCATGGGATTCTCCAGGCAAGAATTCAGGAGTGGGTAGCCAATCCCTTCTCTAGGGATCTTCCCAACCCAGGGATCGAATTTGGGTCTCCTGCATTGCAGGCAGATTCCTTACTGTCTGAGCCAGAGATGTCAGATCTCAGAGTTATGACCAATTAGACTGGCTTCAGGGTTTGGGAAATCAAAAACACTAAGACAAGATAACTTGGAGAAAGCTACTCATTATAGTATCTCATCCTACATTTTATGTGTTACTAAAACCATATGGTACTCTTAAAGACACTTTTAAAAAGACAATGATTTGTTGCCCCACTTAATATAACTGCTGCCATTTTTTCCTCCGCAACTTTCTGCATGCTTATACAGATACAGTTTAGAATTCTATATTTTCTTTTGTATCATAAGTATTTCATTTTTGCGCTTCAACACTAACCTTTTTTTTAAATGGTTTCATATTAGCTAAGTTTTTCTATTATTATTTAATAATTAATCATACAACATAGAGATGGTTCCCAATTTATAATGTCCCAAGAAACAATGCAATATTCTATACAACTTTTTTACTACTAACATTAAGATAAACATACAGGAATCAAAGGAAATGAGCATTTTAATGACTCCTGTGAAACACTGTTAAACTGTCTTCTATAAGGACTGTACCAATTAATACTTTCCAATATTGTATGAAAGAACCAATTTTTCCCAAACCTTATGAACTGATAAATTATTAAATTATTAGATAATTTAATAAGCATGAAAAGGTAATAATTATTTATATTTTTCTTTAGTGATGAGAGTGACCATTTTGCATGTTGATTTTCAATGTGTATTTCCTTTTGTGTGACCTAACCATACCTTTTGACCATTTAATGCTGATCTTAAAGATACCTGAACCAGTTTTTTGACATATTTGATACAAATATATCTCCTCAGTGTTTTCTCTTACATTTGATTTATTAATAAACCAAAGACAAATTAGTGAATATAAAAGCCATTTATCTTTGCATAGTATTTTACAGTTTACAAATGACTCTCACCTATGTTCTGTGACCTTTGCGACAATCTCTTAACAAAGTTAGACAGAAAAAGGTTTTGTTAACCCTTTATTCTTTTAAAATGAGAAAACAGAAAGAATATATGATAGGCCCAAGGTCATGCAGCTAGAGTTGGGATTAAAAGTAGCATAGTTAGGATCAAAAGTTGTCTAATATTCTTTCATCTATAGCTTACATAACCTATGAATAAAGAATACCTAACAGAGCAAATTATCCACAATAATTAAAAACCACCATTACCCCTATTCTAATTCTCCCTACTTATTTTTTAACAATCAAGGGGATTTAGTCTTTTTAAAAGTCTTATTTATTTAGTCACCCGTAATGTTTTTGGCTGTGCTGGGTCCTCACTGTTGCGGAGAACAAGGGCTTTCTGAAGCTGCGGCAAGCAGGGGGCTACTCTCTAGCTGTGGGGTGCGGGCTTCTCAACGCGCTGGCCTCTCTCGTTGCAGAGCCCTGGTGCTAGGCATGCAGGCGACAGTAGTTGCGGCACACGGGCTTAGCTGCCCACAGCAGGGGGGATCTTCCCTGATCAGGGATGGAACCCGTGTCCCCTTCCCTGGCAGCCGGATTTGTAAACTGGACCACTAAGGAAGTCCTCTACTGACTTTAACTGTGTCTTTCATATACTATGACTGTCAGATTCTCACAGTCCTATGACCCATTCTGTCAGCCTCTGGGATCTCCTTTTACCGGAAGAGACCTGAAATGGTCACAGACAGCCGCCAGTTTTGGCTGCTCACACAGTGGCCTTTACTGCGATAAAGCACTATTTCAAACTGACATCTCCTTTAGCTGTCTCACTTCCAGCGCAACGGTGAATAACTAAAACACCACGACTGTTAACTAAAAGGAGTTGTCGCTGTTTAATCGATAAGTCATGTCTGACTCTTTTGCGACCCCACGGATGGTAGCCTGCAAGGCTCCTCTGTCCATATGATTTCCCTGGCAAGAATACTGGAATGGGGAGCCACTTCCTCCTCCAGGGGATCTTCTTGACCCAGGGATCGAACGTGCATCTCCTGCACTGGCAAGCAGATTCTTCACCACCTGGGAAGCCTAACTCAAAAGAGAGTTCAGCAAAATTTTGCAGCATGTTATAAAACCCTCTTTTCAAATTTGTGGTGCTATCAATCCTAGCAGAATACTACAGACCCCAATTACCAGCCTGCAACATTATATTGTCAAAAGTCACAAGGAAGACTGGGCCAGAGAACCGAGTTTAACAGGCACATCACTGCTGTTACAAAAATCACTGAAGCACACATACTGTTGGTGGAATGAGATGCTCTTTGCATATGAGACACAATTCCACACTAAGAGCAGTCAGAATGCCATCTGAGGGCTGTGTGACTTAAGGCAAACAGCCTAATCTACAAAAATAGGAGGAAGTCAGAAGGCAAATGTCTGTTCCAACCCTGCTTGAAATCTTGGCAGCATCTGATACAACCAACCAAGTCTCTCTTGAACCATTGTCTTCTGCAGGCCTCGCTGACACAGAGGGCACAACACAGGGCTATTCCTCGTCCGTCTTCTCTGCTGGCTCACTTCTCTGACCTTCAAAAGCCCAAGTGCGCAGGAAACTGTGTCTGGTCCTCCTCAAGACACATGCTCTCCTTAGGCCACAACACAGGCTTACTGGTGTCCTCCACCTCTCAATTCTTAAGTCCTAACCCCCATGTGACTGTATTTGGAGATAGGATCTTGAAGGAGGTAATCAAGTTAAAATGAGATCACTGAACGCTGAGCAGAGAGCAAACTCGGGGATCTGAGTAGAACCATAACAATGAACAGAGGACATAGGAGATACGGCTGACGAAGCAGGCTGGGAGCAGATAGAAAGTGACCTTCTCTGTTCACACCTAAACATAGACTATAAAAACTTTTTTTCTTTCCTGAGTGTGGCATTCTGCTCCCACTTGGTTTTGGCCCTTTCTACACTGTAGTTCTTGGGATTCAATTATTATATGACTCTTAGATGGATAAGATCTGAGCTACCCCTGCAATTTCAATGACTCTTTTTTTTTTAAAAAAAATTTATTGAGATATAACTGACACACCTTACAATTCACCCATTTAGGTGTATAACTCAATAGTTTTTTTGCATTCGCAGTTATGCAACCATTACCACAATCAATTTTTGAACATTCTCAAGCCCCCAGAAGTTGACTCCATACTCATTAGTAATCATTATTCCATTTCTTTCCAATCCCCCTACCCTTGAAAACCACTATTCTACTCTGTTTCTATAGATAAGCCTCTTTCACACATTTTATATAAATGGAATCATACTTATGTGGTCTTTTATGACAGCTTCTTTGACTTAGTATAATGTTGTCAAGGTCCATCCATGCTGATATAGATATACCACATTTTATTTATCTACTCAAGTCAGTGGTTGTTTTTAGATATTATCCCTTTGCCTCCTAAATCAGGATCACAGATATTTTACAACTTTTCATAGAAAATCATGTCTCTTCTGCTGTCTTCCATTTTAGACTCTTAAGTATAAGGTTTTAAACCTATTTTTTCTTCTAAGTAATTAAAAATTTACTTTAAAATCTAAGGCACATTCTTCTAGCTATCCAAATTCCCTTTATTATTTTCCCAAATAGGTAAGAATTCCAGAATAAAAGTTTCTCCTGAGCAGATAATTCAAGAATTAAATGCTACATTATCCACAGAATAAGTCAGGCAAACATATATCTAAATGTCTAAAAGTCCTCTGCAATATTTGGTCTTCCTTCCATGATAGTTCTGAGATGTACATACACATACAGTGGACCCCTGACCAACACTGGTCTGAACAGTGCAGGTCCACTTACACACGAATTTTTCTCACTAAATATGTATTACAGTGGTATAAGATCTGTGGTTGGTTGAATCTGAGAATGTAGAACCAGGTAAATGAGCGCCAAATGTAAAGTTATTCAGAGACTTTTCAACTACAGGGAAGGTCAGCACCTCTAACCACCACATTGATCAAGGTCACCTGTACTCATCTTTTGTTTATTCAATAAGTATTTTCTTTAAAACTTCCCTGTGACAGTGGATTTGGTTATCTGGTATGGATCCAGGAAAGTCAGTAACACATCTTTCTCCTAACTTTTAACTTGACCACGATTCTACCCTTAGATTAGCAGATCATTTTAAGTATAGTGTAATTTCCAAGAGGTGGCGCAGTGGTAAAGAATACATCTGCCAGTGCAAGAGATGCAAGAGATGCGGGCTTGATCCCTGGGTTGGGAAGATCCTCTGAAGGAAGAAATGGTAACCCACTCCAGTATTCTTGCCTGGAAAATTCCATGGACAGAGAAGCCTGGCGGGCCACAGTCCATGGGGTCACAAAGAGTCAGACACAACTGAGCAACTGAGTAGGCACGCACACACAGTGTAATTTCCAAGATACCTTTTGTTTTTTAGATTCTGAATTTAAATTTCTGACAGGGAATTTTTTGGCACACATCTCAGTGCAACAACTTTTGGCACTCCCTAGATAATCCTAATTACCTCATACATTAAAATTGCAAATTACCTTCATTTTCACAGGAAAAACTAGGGGAAAAAAGCGATGTCCCAAATCTGTATCATGGAGTCTGATCCCTTAGCTACAAGAGCTGTGTCTTTTCCTCTGCCTTTCATTTACCCTTCACAAAACTTCAGTCAAACTCACCTCCTCAAGTACATTCCTATCTCTGTATCTTGAATCACATAAATACCCCTTCTTAAAATACACTCTTCCTGCTCTCTACGCATCCAGGATCTATCATTCCATTCCTTCACAGTTTATCTCAAGTGCCACATTAAAGCACTTAAATCAGTTCCGGGCACACACTTCTAGCATATCATAGTAGAAAGAGCAAAGGATTTAGAATTAGTCTTCAGTCTGAAAGCAAGCTCTGCAATTTACTACATGACCACTGGGAATTTACTTAAGTAAATTTACTTAAGTCTGTTTCCTTGTCTATAAAGGGGGTAAAATAATTCAGACTACTATAGGTTTCTTGGAAAGATTAAATGAAACAAATTGGAAACTGTCAAGTACAGTTATTAGCAGACAATAATAAAATTTTAAAATTTACTTTTTTCTCCAAAGCCATATTTGATCAGCCAAGCTTAATGATCATTCTGTCCTAAGGTACAAACAATGAATCAGATCTATTTTGAACATGAAGCAAATGCCCAGCCTCTTGGATTGTTCGGGCTACCAGCAATTATCAATAGGATCGACCAGATGGTTTTATTTCATCCTATGTTGCCTGTTGATTTATAGATTTAAGCCTATTTCAAAAACAGAAATTATAAACAGAATCTCCATTTTTGCTTTATCAAAGCAAGAAGTCACTACCAATGAAGGCCCTGCAAAGAAAAAGCTGTGAAAATAGGCTCTTCCCTTACCTTGTGGGTTATCCATTCTCGTCCATACTGATACACATTGTTGGCTGCAGAATTAAGGGCTCTTTGGACAACCTGAGCCTCAGGAAGCCAACTAATTCAAAATAAAGGGAGGAAAAATGAAAAACTGGTATAGTGTACTGCACCAGCAATTCCTGGAACTTAATTTTTAAAACAATCATTTACAATTTACGATTCTAAAACTTGCAGAGTATTTCCTAACTTAAATTACCGACTACCTTGGGGGTAGTTTAAAAAAAAAATAAAAGAGGAGGCCATACAATTTGTCATCAAGTTCAATTAGGTGAACAGCATAATCCCAGGAACACTCTCCACGAAGACATAAAAACCCTCTCACAGAAGCCAAATTAAACAAGTTGGCAAAGAGATCCTACAGGCGTTGGCAGACTTTTTTTTTCTGTAAAGGGCCAAGGCATAAATATTTCAAGCTTTTAGGGACATGTGATCTGTATCACAACTACTCAATTCTGTCTGCTTTTTTCTGCAGCCTCCAAATAGCCACAGACAACATGACATGAACAGGTGCAGGCTGTTCCAATAAATCTTTATAGGAACAGGTGGCTGGATTTGGTTCTGAGCCGTAGTCTGCCAACTCTGCCACAAAAAATGATACAGTATGGGAACGCTGCTGACTCTGCCATGGGGGGGATTTTCTCCAATCCCTTAACCTCTGATCCTGCTTCCTCATCTGCAAAATGGGGATAATCCCTTCAGCACACAACATAACATGTGGGGAAATCTTAGTAAATCAAAGACATGTCATAAACTATGAGTCTCAATTCAATATTCGGACTTTCTCCTCTGCTCCCCTCTATCCCACTACATGTCATTCTTACGCAAAATGCAACAAAGTTTTGCAAACTCTTATCTCTTCCAAGGTAACTGTACCAATGAAGATCATTTCATGAAAACAGACATAGACCATCCATCTCTATTTTTGTCAAAATTACATTCTTACTTTGCCCACTCGGGATGATTTGCTAGAGTTTCATTAATCAAATTGCTTGTGACTTCAATCATGTGTACACTCTCTTGATGTACCTGTATTATGGACAAGAAATGAGTATCAATAAAAATTAAACTCAATTTAACATTTATCTTTTATACTATTCTAGGAACAATGCTTTAAGAGTCAAGTCATTAGATATCTTAGTTTCAGTTAACTTAACAGACCTGCACTGAACAGCCAATATCCATAACAAAGCAACTCTAGATTGTTTTGTAACTCTGAAAGTCATCATTTTGTTTCAGTAAGCAAACAACTTACCTATAATCAAACTGCAAAGTTTGTCTTCCCTGTCATTAATGTTTCTGCTCAGTGTTTTTTATTTTTTGAAAAGCCTAAGGGCTCCCCCTGAACCTGAATAGCAAAACAGTCAGCCAATAATTTTGGCCTAAGTTATGCTCGGGCACTTCACACTAGGAAGCTTCATCCTTTCTAGCCTGAGATGTCTGAAACTTGAGAAATGCCATCAAAGGTACAACAAATGTGCAAATCTTCCTAGGCTTTCAATATTCACAGGATACCTTAGGGTCTCCCATATAACCATTCTAAAATGTGATTTATTAATCTCAGCCCTTCTATACCTCTCTTGCTTCCAGAACCTCTCCCTTTAATTCACAGCTTCTCTGTTGCCAGTCCCAAACCAAATACAGCACAACCCATAAAAAAATCTGTAGGTTTTTTTTGCCTTCTGCCACAAGGCAGGTGAGGATAAGTAATTCCAAGTAAAAAAGCCACAAACTACATGTTTTTACCAGGTAGTAGCAGTTTTTCACAAGCAAACACTCTGCAAATTATTGCCTAACTGATCATTTTTCAATGTCCTGATATGGTGTTTATAATAATTTTTATACCATTTTATTCTTTGGCCACCTGATGTGAAGAGCTGACTCATTGGAAAAGACCCTGATGCTGGGAAAGATTGAGGGCAGGAGGAGAAGCGGACGACAGAGGATGAGATGGTTGGATGGCATCATCGACTCGATGGACATGGGTTTGGGTGGACTCCGGGAGTTGGTGATGGACAGGGAGGCCTGGTGTGCTGCGGTTCATGGGGTCACAAAGAGTCAGACGCGACTGAGTGACTGAACTGACTGATTCTTGCTTTAGGCAGAAAGGAATTACCTAACATCCGCACCCTGCTATTATCCCAAAATATACTAGGAACATGGAGGCAAAAAGGATTTTCTGACAAACTGGATATGCATCTATTAATAAAAGAAAAAAAGCAGTAAAAAATGACCCTGAGGCTTTTCACCTGAGCAAGCAGAATGAAGCTGTCACTTGAAATGAGAAGAACAGACAAGCAAGGGAGGGTCTGGAATTCAGTTCTGACATGTTTGAGATGTTTATTAAGACAATCAAATGGATACTGTCATGGTGTTTTAGAGGATGATCCGTTTATTGGCTGGGAGAATGAACTAGATAACCAGGAAGTTTCCTTCAAAAGCTCAGTTTGCATGAGTCCTAAACCACAAAGAAAAGGTTCAGTAATAGCTGTTATCAAAGTTCAGAGAAGCAAAAGCTCACTGAAGCATGCAATGAACAAAGAAAAAGAAAGATGAAACAGTTGAGATGAGCAAGCAAGAAGACCCTACACAAAGGGACAAAGAAGGGAAGGTAGAATAGAAGAGAGAGGAAAAAGAGAAAAAGAAAGGAAAACAGAATTACATACTGGTGAAAGGTTTCTCTAAGAACTAGAAAAACATACAGAGGAGGGTTTAGGTGAAATATAACAAAAACAAAGACAGACCTCTCAAGTCTGTAGAGTCTAAATAAGTGACTGTACATGATTAAAATCCAAAGAACAGGTAAAAACTGCATTTTAACTGAAACAGGTACAGAGAGAGCAGGTTGTTAGAAGCAAACGATAAGATCAGGGCATACTGAGGCTAAGAGTGACTGAGAACAGGACTTCCAAGTGGAAAGTCAAGTAGTAGGAAACAGTGTAATCCCTTAGTAAATTGCTGCATATTAGATTATCTATTGATAATTGATATTACCATATCTCTACAGCACTATATGAAAATGGTTCATATCCAGGATATCAGGTAAGCTTCACAATTTCTGGAAAACAGCATATAAAAACCTGGGGTGCAGAGTTCAGTAAGGTCCAAATAAAATATAAAGACTGTGATAGATTACAGAAGTTTCTTGAAAAGCCAGTAAGAGATAAAAAATTTAGCTGAACTTTGGAGAATGATTTATTTGATAAAAGAGGGGTGAAAAACTGCAAAAGCTGGTAACATGACTCCATACAAATATGCAATGAAAAAAAAAAAGAGGAGTGAAGTGAAGTGAAGTGAAGTGACTCAGTCGTGTCCCACTCTTTGCGACCCCGTGGACTGTAGCCCGCCAGGCTCCTCTGTCCATGGGATTCTCCAGGCAAGAATACTGGAATGGGTTGCCATTTCCTTCTCCAAGGGATCTTCCCAAACCAGGGATCGAACCTGGGTCTCCCGCATGGCAGGCAGACGCTTTATCCTCTGAGCCACCAGGAAAGCCCGAAAAGAGGGGTAATAAGGACTAAATTTTTTTTTATATCCTCTCAAAATTCGTCTGGTGAAAGTCTAACATTCAATGTGATAGTTCTAAGAGGTAGGGTCTTTGGGAAGTAATTAGGTCATGAGGGTGGAGCTCTCATGATGGGATTGGTGTAGAGGTTTAGTTGCTGTGATGGTTTGGTTGCTAAGTCATGTCCGACTCTTGTGACCCCATGGGCTGCAGCCCACCAGGCTCCTCTGTCCATAGTATTTTCCAGGCAAGAATACTGGAGTGGGTTGCCATTTCCTTCTCCAGGGGGGTCTTCCCAATCCAGGGATCGAACCCAGGTCTTCTGCACAGCAGGCAGATTCTTTACCGACTGAGCTACCACGGATAACCTGATGGAAGACATGAAGGGATTAGTGTCCTTAAAAGAAGAAATACAGAGGTATTCTTTCTCCCTATCATGTGAAAATACAAGGAGAAAACAGCCACCTATAAAGCAGGAACAGAGCCTTTACAACAAGCTGACCATGCTCGCACTTTCATCTGGGCTCTCAGCCTCCAGAACTATGAGAAATAAATGCTTGCTGTTGAAGGCACTTGGTGTGTGGTATTCTGTTACAGCAGTCCAAACTAAAAAGGCGGAAGGGAAATGCAAGCTGCAAGGATCTGGAAAGTGAGAAATACCTTAATGGTAAATCAGCAGAAAGAACAATGAGACGTGAAGGAAGGAATCAAATTCTGATCAAGTGAACATGATCTACGCTAGGAGTCATGGACCAGATCACAGTTCTTCTTTTGAGAGAAGAACCCACTTTTCCCTCAGTATCTCCATTTTTCATCTGCATTTACCTCGGAGGATTTTTATGATAATAAAATTTAAATGATAAAAATACATTAGGCAAATTCATGGCAAAACCAGCAATACAAAAATCATAAATACTTTAAATGCTATAATTATTTATAAGCAAAGTAACATTTCCCATGCATGCAACTGCTGGCTTCTTATCCATACAACAAATTCTAACAGTTAAAGAGTTTATTAATGGTGATAGTAATCGTTGTACTGTACCTTTGCAGTCAGGAGTAGGGCTAAAAGAAGTGTTCCTATCACTAACAAAAATATGATGAAAATGCTAATTATTTTGTCTAACATCTTCTCCAACCAGATGATCATCTGCACAGAAATGAGAAAGAGAATTAGTCATCTTTCAAGTACAACTTAATAAAAACATATGTGCATTCAAACATCATGAAGACAAAACAGGCTATTCAGCACTGCAGAAACTATGGCATAAAGATTAAAGCAGTAAAAGCTATAAGCCACTTTAGAAAATTAACTAACAGTGTTAATTGTTGTTACAGAAAGAGCTTATTATTGTCACATCTAAGAAAAGGCAATCAATTTGAATATAACCTAAATTTATGCTTGGATTCTCATAGTGTGGTATGTTTACATTTCAAATTAGAATTTACGATCTAACAAACATTCTAAACTAAATAATGACAATCCCTTAGTGAGCTCAAATCTCTACTGTCAATTAGCAAATATATACGACTTTAGTAAAAGGATGACTTACAATGCAGGTAAGGTATGTCCTGCACTAGACAGATAAAATAGGAGCAAATTAAAATGGGAATTACATTCAAAATACTTTTTTTCTTTAATGTCATCAGGGTTACAAATAAAATCTATTGTTAAGGTAGTGATAAATACCAATTTCAGAATAATAGCTACCCTGGAAGCAAAAGGGTTGGGACACGGATGCACAATCAGGGAGGGGTACACAAGAGACTTCAGGTACAGGTAATATTTTGTCACACTGGAAGACAGGCACGTGGGTGCTCTTCTATCCTTTTATACTTGAGATATTTCATAATAAAATAAGAAATCCACTTGAAATTTCTATTTTTTTTAAACCATAAACTTTATGACAAATTATAATTGACTATAAATAAAGAATAATCATTAATGCAGTAGTTATCTCATAATCAATAAAATTATGCTTTTCCAAAATGCCATGAGGCATTCTATTTTGAGTGTAACTTCTCTCATCTTTCACAATGACAAATAATCCTACATTTTCTAAAACTTTTGTTTTCAGAATATCTAATCCTGACAGATCTCTAGAATTCCTGCCATGCAATGCTACCAATTGACATTTCAAAAATACAATCAGACTGATGATTGAAATACCACAATGCACCCCTCAATCCCAACATGAGCACTGCTGAGTAAGTTACTCTTCTTTTAAATATGAATTATGCTCGCCAAACAGTTAAACATTCAAGAGCAAAGAAGGATGGTTAAAACAGCATGTCTTCTAAAACATTTGCTTTCTATTAGAAGATTACAAGCTTGCACCTCCTTATCTTTCAGGAAGGACACTGTCACCAAGAGATCGATGCTATAGTGAACTCAAAGATAAACAGTGCATCTTTTATCTTGACAATTACAGCTTTCAAACAGAAGAGTTAATTTTCAGTGCATGCTACCAAAGCATCAAAGACAATGCAGAGATTAAAAAAAGTAATAACAGGTTTCTAAGATATGGAAGGTCAGAGGTCATATTTTGAATGTAAGTTCTAAAATCAGTGAAAGTGAAGAGTATCACAATCAGAAACTAACTCAACATCTAGTTTTTGAGAGTTTCCTGAGCAAAGAGATAGTATTGCATGATTCCTCTTTGTATCTCCAAAACCTATCAGTGCATAGCATGTGGTAAAAGCTCAGTTAATACATATTTGAATAGGAAAAATAAAGAAAATATCAGAATTATGACTGGATTGGTATTCACAAATTACAATTTCTGAAAATAACTTAGGAGCCTCAATTTTTTTTTTTAGAAAATTCACATCCTGAAATACATCAACATAAAAGATGTTTTATTTGGAAAGTATCTAAAGTTATGTCTGAGTATTTTTAACATATAAAACATGGAATATTCACAAACACATTATGTACAACAACATTACAAAAGTGAAACTGTTTTCAAACCAGGGTAGAATTTTCCTATCACAAGCTCTATATACCTAAGGGCTGGAATAAGAGACACCTAAAGAAAAATTTATTTTCAAGAGATAATACTGAGGGTTAGATGCTTTATTGAAAATTTAAAACACAGGCAGACACCATTTTATTGTGCTTCAATTTACTGTGCTTTGTAAATAACGTGTTTTTACGCATTGAAGGATTGTGGCAACCCTGCTTTGAGCAAGTATATTGGCGCCATTTATTCCAACAGCATTTGCTTATTTTTTATCTCTATCACATTTTGGTAATTCTCCCAATATTTCAAACTTTTTGTTATGATATTTACTATGGTGATTTGTAATCAGAGACTTTTGATGTTACTACCACAACTCACCGAAAGCTGAGATGATGTTTAGTCTTTTTTTTTCCAGCAATAAAGTATTTTTAATAACAATTTATAATATTTTTTGGACATAATGCTATTGCACACTTAATAGACTACATGTGTCCAACTCAGTCGCCAACTTTTTACCACTCCGCCACCTATTAAGCCCAATAGACTGTAGTATGTGAAAGTGAAAGTCACTCAGTCGTGTCCGACTCTTTGTGACCCCATGGACTTGCATAATACAGTCCATGGAATTCTCCAGGCCAGAATACTGGAGTGGGTAGCCTTTCCCTTCTCCAGGGGATCTTCCTAACCCAGGGATCAAACCTAGGTCTCCCACATTGCAGATGGACTCTACCCGCTGAGTCACAAGGGCCGCCCAAGAATGCTGAATTGGGCAGCCTTTCCCTTCTCCAGCAGATCTTCCTGACCCAGGGATCTAACCAGGGTGTCCTGCATTGCAGGTGGATTTTTTACCAGCTGAGCTATCAGGGAAGTCCAGACTACAATATAGTACAAACAAATTTTATATGTCCTGGGAACCCAAAGAAAACCATGTGACTTGCCTTATTGCAATATTCACTTTACTGTTGTGGTCTGGAACCCAACCAACAGTATTTCCAAGGCATGCCTATAAATAAAATCACTTAAGATGTTCCATACACAAGCAAAAAGTATGTGTGTGGCGGGGGTCGGGGGGAGGTTTCTATTTACATATGGCCAGCAAAGATAAGGTGAGAAAACAGGCAAAAAGGAAGATAGCAAAAGTGAAAGAGAGGAAAAAAAGTGGAAAAGAGAGACAGGAAAGACTTAAAAATGTGGAGAACTAAGGACCAATCGAGAGGAAACAATCAAAGAGGATAGAAAACTTACAGAGGAAACGAACACCCTAAAAGAGTGAATGGAACAAGACTCATAAGGAAACTGCAACTCATAGACACAGAAAAAGAAACGTGGTCGGAGGACGCGAAGGAGAAGGGGAAGGGGACGAGGGAGAGAATTGGTAGAGAACTGCCAGAGGCGCCGTCCCAGGAGGCCGTGCTCTGCTTTAAGCAGGGGAACCACGCTGCCTGTCAATCCCTACCCCGCTCCATTCACTGCCCAGTTTATTTTAGGTTTGAGATTTTATTTTCTAAAAGTAGGAGGGAAGCACTTTTAAAATGACATTCTGAATGTTTTAAGTATAAATAAAGGGCATGCATTTTTTTCTAAATGTAGAAATGTCAGTAAATACATAGTTATATCAAAAGATACTCTGAGGCTTCTAAACTGACTCGCCTTCTTTACCAAGTTATGAAGAAACTGTCATTCCACTACTGAGTTTTCTATTCATTATTCTGGACATGTAGGTTTTTATTTTGCTTTGTTTTTCTTAGCCTAATTCTAGCAGTGCAAATAATAAATACTGAGAAAACAACTAAGTCTTAAGAAACAGTTACATTTCAATTAATCATAGCTGTGTTTCTCACCCTCACTTCCCTTGAAATAGTTTCTAATTCACTCCACTTGAACTTGGAATACCAATACCCAATGCTGCAAATTTTCTGCCCTTGGATGAAATATGTAACAGAACAGACTTCAATTTCTTTATGTGCTTTCCCGGGCACAGACTCTCAGAAGTTAAAGCAGTTACTCCAACTCTACACCAATACTTTACCTATTTTACACAGAATCATCAAAGAAAAGGAAAAGGTTATCTGACCCCTTGAGAATCTTTTAAAACTAATTCACAATTAGCCAGCTATGAATTAGATAACCGAACTCAAGTCACCAAAGGTTAAATCAGATTGAACCTAATGACTTTAGCTCTCCTTTCTCTCATCTCTTCAGAACAATTTCATTTCAATAAAAACAAAGTGGGGAAATACATAAGACCACCTACTTTAATCAAAGTAAGAAAATATAACTTATTTTTGTAACACTATCTATTGCCAAGGATTGAATTCATTTACTCATATTTGTTTTGTAGAGCGGAGGTACATATAACCATTTGTGTATGTGTGTTTGTATGTGTGTGTGTGATCATGGTGCTACATGTGTATGTTGATTTTACACACTGTTTATTTTCAATCCAAAGTTTAAAAGTGTAATAAGCACTGTTAATAAGTCTCCCCTCTATTCTCTTTCAACAGAAAGAATGAAACTCTAATCTTTATACCCAAGAGCCTCATTTTGAACTATTTCTAAGAGGTAACACATTTTTCTTAAGGCCTGCTGTAATATTTTCACTGAAGATTTTTAAGGTCTTATTTAATGACAACACACATGAATGATATCATCTTTTGCTATCTGCCCTAGGGATCCGATAACATTGTCAGAACTACTCTATGGGTACTATGGTACTCCTAACCTATCTGGATTAGACTTCATTTAAGTTACTGAAAATTCCATGGCAATCATGTGAGGCATTTACCATAGATACAACCTCACATTTTGGGAAATACATAAAACTAGATGTCATGGGCCATGACTACACCATTTTTTGAGAGATAAAAAATAAAATTTTGAAACACTAGCTATAAAAAAAAAAAAGACAACATATAACACTATTGGCCAAGAGAATCATACAAATATTTCACAAGTCTTTTTAAAAAAACTATTGTGTTATTTATAGAAAAAGCAGCCGTAAAGAGCTCTCTTTCCTTTTCAGTACCTTTTGCCTAAAATGCTCTCACACATTAAAGGAGACGAGAGTATCAGGCTGGGCCACATGATAGAGCTGAAAAGGTCTGGAGGTCACAGTGTACAAAAGGACCACGAGACAGAACGTCAACACACTCGGGCAAGGAGATACCATCCACATCCTAAATAAATAGCTTTAAGTTTTTAGCAAATTGCACTGTGGCAATATTAATGCTTCACGACCTTCCATAGCTTATAATTAGAACTTTAAAAAACAAAAACTTAGTCTGACATATGAACAGAAACAGGGTGAGAACGGAGATGCGGGGGGGGGGGGAAGTTACAGAATTCAATAGTAAAAATCAACATCCGGGTGTTCATTTACCTTCTTATTTAGCCAGTGCCAGAGCTTGAGGATAGGGGCAAGGTGAGAGAGAAGATAAGAACAGTGGCATATCATTAGAGAATGCAGCAACAGTATGAAAAGAAAAGAGAGTCACTGGGAGCATGAGGAGGAAGTCTCTCGGACAAAGGAAAAACTGGGAGAAACTGAACTGCGTTAACAAAGTTTCAAACTCAAGTGCATGTAGTATTCCTTTAAGACACACGATTGAAATGATAACCACAAGCTTTGTTCGAAATTCAATGATTAAGAGTACATAAAGATAACCTGAATGCTTACAGGCTTAAACTTTCACACCAAATTCCAAAGATCAAAGCTATAATTAAGATTTTTCACATACCATGCATTAAAAGGATTTTCAGTCCCTATATAAACTAATTCCTGTTCACACAGTACATTTTCATTGAACTTTGCTGTTGCAGCTTTATAATAGTACTTATTTTACATTTCCTAGAGTAAAACATTTCAGTGTTCATTTGGAACAGTGAACACCTGGTCAAAAAGCAGACATATTTAAGATTCTGATCGTATTGGGCGCATTTTCTTCCATTTCCAATTTTTCAGGCATGCATTTTTCTACTGTATGTAATATCCTGCTGTTTTTTCACATAGACATTACCTCATCTACACCTCACAATATTTAGCACTATAATAACTCATGCTAGTTAATGGTCACATAAAATAAAAATCAGCAAACATAGGATTTAAAGCATTATTAGTGTATAAAAAGCATAAAGACTAAAAAGCTTGATTTCATCTGAATGACTAAATGCTCTTTGCAGAGTTATTCCTAAAGCACACCTAGTACATGTTTAGACACATACTTCAAACAATCTTCTCTAGATGGATCATTTCAACACTGGTCCAATCAATTGAAATTAAACAGAAACACGGAAAATAGATGTATTCCCCAATGCAGGACCCCAGATATATTATTATACTGCATTAAACATAATCTTGACATCAACTATAATTGAACAAATATTCAATTTGTGATAGCCATTTATTCTGATATATATCATATGTAACAGAAAATGCTAGTTTTATTCATTTTACTGTCTCTCTTCCTGAAGAACAAGACTGACATATAAATTAGAATAAAAATTACAAATTTTTACAAGACTACCCCATAACAAATACTTTTGATGCCCCTGGAATTTCAACCAACACAACTGTATAGTTTTCCTAAATGAAGTGTTCCCAATACAAGTACATGGGAACACTGAAAATAGATTTAGTTTTTATGCCATCTGATAGTGGTAAGACAAAAAAATTAACTGGTGTAAGAGTCACCCTCTTTACAGCTTGAAGTGATAAATCTGCTCTAGTAAGATAAAACTTCACCTTAATCAGGGAGATGTGACAGACATGCTGAAATCTGTGAGAAGTCCTAGATTCTTATTTTTAAAAATTGAAAAAAATTAATAAGAACACAATAGGCAGGGAATTCCCTGGTGGTCCAGTGGTCAGAACTCTGTCCTTTCACTGCCAAGGGCCCAGGTTCAATCCCTGGTCAGGGAACTAAGATTGCCAGAAGCCACAAATCAGGGTCACAAAAGACACACACACACATACACACACAGAATAGGCAAATTAAAAAAGAAAAATATAAACAGCCAAGAAGCAAATAAAAGAATGGTCAACTCAACTGTTATTTTTTAAAATTTCAAATTAAAACAACACCGAGATATTTCTTTTTACAAAACTAAAATGGACTTTCAGTTATACCATAACATACAGTACTGGCAAGAGCTCAAAGAAATGGGCATTCTCATATGCTGCTGAGATGGGAACTAAAACTGACAAACTTTCTGGAAGACAACCAGGCAATATATTAAAAGTATGTATCCCCTGCACCTCCTTTGACTTCCTCCCCCTCACATGAACTCCAGATACTGTTCTTGTCTCTATCTACATTTGCTTCATCCAACAGTGTTTTTCAGCCTCAAGCCCTGGATGGACCTGTTAAAAGAAGTCACTAGCCCTGTGATAAAGTCCAGCTTGCACAGCACAGCATACAAAAAGGCGCTGTCGATCCAGTCTTGCCCGACTCTCCAGCTCTACCTCCCACTAATCACCGTTTCACATATCCCACTTTCCTCTCACTCTGTGGGGGTCTCTGTGCCCCTACACCGCTCCATTTACCTGCTCTTCTTCCAGGCCTTGCTAATAAACTCCTAGCAGTGCTCACAATGTGCTCTGGTATCACCTTTCCCACTGCTCATCAACAGTGAGTCATTTCTTGCTCAGTTACCACCACTATATCCTGGACATACCTCTCCCCTCAAACTATAACGACGGCTCAACACTTATACAGAGCTGACAGTGAACCAGATCCCAGTCTAGGAATTGAACATGTATCAACTCACTGAAGCCTCACTACCATTCTCTGAGACATACTTGCTATTATACTTTATATTCATTGGCACAGAAAGGTTACGAAACTCATCCAAGGTCACAGAGCTAATAAGCAGCAGAATTGGGATCTGAATCCAAAGTCTGAATTCAGAGACTATGCTCCAAACCATCTCTTCTGAATCTAGCACAGCCTCTAAATTCTAACGGATTGCTGTCTCCCCACTAAAATAGTTTCTGTACCTAGTTTTCCAGGATTCATCTGGTTTTCCCTAAAAGTTATGCTAGCTAAAGCATGAGAATTTTCCAAAATTATTCACTGCACTGAGCTACACCTGGCTATATAATTTTAGACAACTCACTTAACCCCTCTAGACTTCAATCTGGTCCTTATAAAGTAAGAGTTGAACTAGGTGCTCCTTTTCCCTCATTTTTAAGATGTAAAAATACTTACACAACACTTATTCAAACTACATCTATCCCATCCATCACTCTAAATTTCAGCAAAGTTAGACATTAAATGTGTTATCAGCAAGTAAATACTAATATACCATAAAATGGAATCTTTTAGACAATGAAATACATAATAAACTCCACTTGAAAGCAGCTCAAGTTATGAAAATACAATACCTTGCTATCAACCTTTAGCAAGAATTTTCCGAGCCCGATAATCGGCCACGGGGCCAGGGCTTCCTGCCGCTCCTTCAGGAAGTGCTCTATCACCTGCCACCACAGAGCGCAGCGCTTCTCCAGGAAGTTCACAACGCCAAAGTGAATAACAAGCTTTTTGAGGACCCAGACTACGAGGAAGATGAGAAATACACACACAAGAGAGAAAGAGAGATTACAAACAGGTTCAGTTCCACATAACCTTCCGAAAACAGCAAAGCCAGTGCTAAAATATATAGTTTTTTTTTTTTCCTTTTGTTTTTGTTTAATGGAGGAGGGAAGGAACAAAGTTCAAAATATTCCAGCTTGATGGAACTGGGCAGTTTCCACACAATCCCCACCTACCTATCTCCCACCCTCTCTGTGAAGTCTGAAGCCTTGAAGCGGTCAGGGATTCAAAGCCCACATAAACGTTAGACGCCTCGATCATGAGGATTTCACTGACTACAACCTTGGCCCCTCACACTGTGCCGTTCCAGGATAAAGCATGCTAACCTCTGACCTGTCCTTGTCGCTTTGGCTATTTTAGCTGCTCTTGCCAAATTTTGTTCTTTTCCTTAGATGTTTGATGTGTAGTGACCAGATAAGCAGAAGGTATTCCATACACATCATAATTTTCTACCCCCACAGGGTAACATTCTCATTTGTATTTCTATGTCTATTCCTGATGCTCTGTACACCGGAATCTCTCACCACGGTTCCATAGAGACCAGGGCTGTTACAAACAGCTGTACACTACATGATTTCCGGGAACAACTCAAACTATAATATGAAGGGAACCCTCTGCGGTGGGATACTGTGGTTTCCCTTTAAACAGGGGTTAAAGCCTCTGTTAAAAGCTAACTAAGAAGGAGTAGGGACTAGAAGGAAGTGCTGCTTATCTGTGAGGGTTGTCTTGACGTTTGGACCCTAGATAATTGGTCCCAGCCACTATGATTTCCCTACTCCAGGGAGCTCTGTGTCCTCAGCCCTGGCCTTGTAATCTAACAGTTCACTGTTTACTATTTTGAACCATGAGCTCAGTGTTACATGCCAGGTCAACAATTCCTTCATCAGCACTTTTAAACCTCTGGAGACGTCCTATGGTCTCGAGAATAAGTCCAGGGTAATTATAGTTGTAAAAACTTTGTGGAGGCCACCATATTCATAGCCTACTCCCCTTTTTTATTTAAAAAGATAGTAAAATTATCTCAAACATTAAAAAAAAAAAATCCACAAATTAAAGAAAAAAAATCTTTCAAGGCAAGACAAGATCATCACTAACCAATTACCTGCAATAGGCACTGGCAGCAACTGTACAATCCACAGGTTGGACCAGATCTGGACTCCGACGATGGCCCAAAGGAGAGACACGAAGTATATGTCACTAGTTTTCTTCTTCCTAAGAAACGTGCCAACTTCAGGTCTCTGTCTGCCCAGGGTGGGTGAAGGGGAGGCGGGTGAAGAAGCTGAGGCCAGTGTTGGAGGGGGTTCTCCTCTGTCCATGGTTTCTGTCCCTGAGGAGGGAAAGCAAAAAAAAAAAAAAAAAAAATCACCCACACATTGGTCCATATTAATAAATAGTAATACAGAGCAATTAGCTAGGCCTGGTTTAAGCCTTCAAGATGTACTAAGATAGCATGATTACACTGGGTTAAAAAAGAAAATAAGACCTGGATGGATGCTTGCAAATGTAATAAAAAAAAGGTGTGGAGAATGATGTATGCTTGCAAAAGTAATGAAAAAGGTGAGGAGAATTAACACTGACAGTGTTTACATCTACGGAAATTAAGTTCGTTGAGAGGGTTGAGTATGAGTAATGGTTTATTTTTACTTTATATATTTTACACTGTTCAAGTTTTTTATGACATATTTATCATTTCTATTTATATGTATATATATATAGCATTTAGATTAAAAAAAAAACTAAAGGTAAACACATGACAAAGTAACAGAATTATAATTAGCCCATGAAAATTACTCAAACCATATAAAGCAATAAATATTAACATACAGAATTATTTAAAAACTCCTTCTCTTTTAACTTTATTGTAGATGTATTTATATGTGTCTCTGAAACAATATGGCTTTTCAGCATAATTTTATCTAAATGGGACCAGCCGCTCTTACAAAACCCAGGGTTTTAAAGCATATCTTTCTCTTAGAATGGGATATTAAAAAATAACAGGTTGCTGTGGATGAGGAATCTTCAAATATAGGATATCACGCTGAATTATTTCATAAGGCACTGCTTTCTAATAATGCAACTACTGCCATATTTCACTATTACTCAGAATATATCACAATGATGGAAATGAGTAAGATCCTAAAACCTATATTTTGCCTTCTATGAAAAAAAGTTAAAAGTATACCTTATTTCCTAAAGTCTAGGTAAAAAAAAAAAAAAATGAACACCCCTAATTTCAATGTCCTTTTTGCCCCAATTGTTTATACAATTTTACACAGTTGTATCATTTTCCACTCAGAACCTTTCCCACTTTCTCCCTTCAGCTGAATGCCAACTCCAGAAGAAATAAGACCTAGTCTGTCTTGCTTGCCCCTCCACTGAATTCCTAGTGCAAAAAAATATTACCTGACATGTAGAAGGTACTCATCAAATCTTTACTCTAAGAATGCCTTCCCTGTTATTTCATAACTTTTGTAAGTAACCCCACAATAGCCCTGTGAGTGCTTTATTATAATTTCCTTAGTGGTTTTTTTTTTAAATGATGCTTAGCTATGAGGACATTTTTACTACTGATGTAACTGGGACCATGTTTAAGTCAGCCCATCTCATGAAAACTAACATTCTACCCAGAGGTTTGGGGCTAAACACCAAGCTAATTATAATATGCTTCTGTTTGCTCTCTGAATGAATGTCTTCCTAATTTGGAAACTTCATGTTGCTGGATCTGGCAGATATTCGTAAGAATAGTAAGTCCATAACCAAAACATCATCCCCTCTCTACTCTGAAAACATAATTTAATGTGTAAGAAAAATAAGTTTTACTACTACCCCAAATGCCTTCTTCTTAGCTGATCCCCTCTTTCAAGACTTCTCTAAAGTGAGTTCTTCCAGGAGAGCTCATGAAAACAGCTCCTTAACTCTCAAACCTCTGGCAGTAATGGGCCTCTTGGCACAGACAGACAAGGCCTTTACATTCCTGAATTCTGTGTGAGTATGGTATGACTTTAAAGCTGGTATAAAACTACTAGCTGGATCTCACAGGAGCTCTGTGTCCAAAATAATTAGAGGATTCTGTGTTAAGGGAAACAGTCAATATACTAACAGCAAGAGGCATGCAAAGTAAACTTTGAGAAGAAAAGCAAAAAATGCCAGAGAAATGAATGATTGGAAGATGGAAAATAAAAATCAAAAGAAAGATGGAGAAAAGGAACAATGACCAAAAAATGCAACATAAAGAGAGCAAAAGAGAACAATGGAGGAGAACTGACAAGTTGTAGAAGAAATGGCAAATATAAGGACTAAGTAGGGGAAAATACAGACAAAGGTAAATGGGTCTTTAAGAAAAGGAAAATAAAATGAAAGGATAGTGAGAAAGAATAACAAAAGAAAAATAGGAAAAGCCCTTAAAAAAAAAAAAAGGAAAGAATGAAGAATCAAGGTAAGAAACCTAAGAAGATAAATAATTAAATGAATGAAAAAAGTGATACATGAGAACAAAGATAGAAGGAAAAAAGTGTAAAAATAGGAACCAGAGAGAAAAATGAAGGACCAGTAAGTAGCATCTTGTGATGCTAGTGTCTTTCCTAATTTTATGTTCTATGTATATTCCATTTTCCAGAAGGATGCTGAAGGCATTCTCACAACACCAGTCACCTGCAGGCTGGGTAGCGGTGTGGTCCTCAGTGCTCGATTCATACCCTGTGATAGAGATGGCCAAGGTCGCTAGAGTAGAAGCTGCCATAGAGATGACTTGTCCCGGTAACTCTGCTCCTGTAAAACAAGCATGCAGTTATAAAACTTTTTAAAGGCAATAAAAAAAAAAAGGGAAAATAACTTGCAAACTGAAACACAGTCCTTGGTTTTTCAACAGCAATAAAACAAAATGGTTACTACTGATCCACTAGACCAGTGGTTCTTCATCAAGAGACAGTGCTTAAAAATCAACCGTCAAGTCTGCTAAAAATGCAAGTTTCTGGACTCTCTCTCTCTCATTTGGGAACTTGATGCTGGTGCATGTGGAAGATAGTAGATACAAATACGGAATGCCACACTTGTATTTTAACTTCACAGGTTTATTTTAATGCACATCTGTGTTGAAAAACACTGTTACACCAAGCCTATGAGCTTCCTGAATGCAGACTTACTTTCCTTTGTATTACTAGTTCCTAGTACAGTATGGAATAGCCCACGTGCATACTAAGTCGCTTCAGTCGTGTCCAACTCTCTGCGATTCTATGGACTGTAGCCCACTAGGCTACTGTATCCATGGGATTCTCCAGGCAAGAATACTGGAGTGGGTTGCCATGCCCTCCTCCAAGGGATCTTCCCGACCCAGGGATCGAACCCACATCTCTTATGTCTTCTGCACTGGCAGGCAGTTCTTTACCACTAGCGCCAATGGGAAGCCCAAAATAGCCCATACTTGTTTTCAATAACAACATTTCATGACTGAATATGCAAATGTATGGGTATTGCACAAAATCATATACAGTCAATCCTCGACCTACATGGGTTTGAACAGTGCAGGTCCGCATATATGTGGATTTTTTTCTAATAACTGTATTTTCATCTTACAGATCCTTAACTAAGTATGGAGAAAAGCTTTTGTTCAATGTGAGATCACAGGTGGAACTAGGATTTGAATTCTGATTCTACCCAAACTGTTTCAGCTTCCTGCCCTTGGGTGAGTCATTTATCAATTCCTTTGTTTTTGAAGCAGAGATAGGAGTTCACAGATATTTGACTGCATGGGGAGGTCACTTCCCCAACCCTGACATGGTTCGAGGGTCAAGTGAATATCTGTAAAGTCCATAATTCAACAACACAGGCAAAATCTACCACCTGAGAATCTAAAAGATCATCACTACCCTGTTTCACAATCTAGGTTCTCGTGTTAAGTACCTAACAGGTAGTATACCAAGTTTAGCCTAGATCCAAAAAACACATTCACTGGTCAATGCGGTCTGTCTGGAACGGTCAGCCTTTAATTTGCTATGGCAGACCACACAGAGCAGCTGGCCCAACACCTGTTCCCAGTGTGCTTCCCCATACCCTGGAGGCTGGAACGCTGAAGACTGGGCTTCCCGGACTCCTTTGAGCAGCTGGCCCAACACCTGTCCCCAGTGTGCTTCCCTGTACCCTGGAGGCTGGAACGCTGAAGACTGGGCTTCCCGGACTCCTTTGAGCAGCTGGCCCAACACCTGTCCCCAGTGTGCTTCCCCGTACCCTGGAGGCTGGAACGCTGAAGACTGGGCTTCCCGGACTCCTTTGAGCAGCTGGCCCAACACCTGTTCCCAGTGTGCTTCCCCGTACCCTGGAGGCTGGAATGCTGAAGACTGGGCTTCCTGGGCTACTTTTGCAGCTACTGTTTCGCCCGTGACGGGGTGGAACACCAGTGCAGGCACCCTTGTGCAGACCTGGAAGCCCTAAGCGACTCACTGTGATTTGGAAGCTCTCATGTCAGACACAGTCATGGAGACATGTGGTTTTCCTGCAGGAACTTAGCAGAAGTTCCAGAGGTTCTGCTGTCTGATTTCCAACTCTGTGTCAGAGAGCAGCAGCAACACTATGTAGCACTTCTGCTCAAATGGTCCTCGGTGTCGTTGAGCATTTCTCCTGGTTGCACTGCTTCTGCATGTCAGGTCCAAGCTTAACTGTCTGATCTGTCCAAAAATTCTGCGTGTACAAATCCTTTATGCTGACCAATACCTCTTTCTATTTAGACTAGTTGGCATGAATTCCACTGTCTGGCTAAGAATAGTCACCAAATCATACATATGCCCACATCCATACAGCTGGGACCTCTCAGCAGGCTGATATTCAATGTGACAACATAAAGTTCCGCCAGGCCGATGAAAAGAGCCATGACTTTCAGAAGGTCAGTGAATTTCAGCTCCAGACAAACTTCACATACCCAACAAATGCAAGGCTGGCCACCTCCCAGAGGTAAGCAGGCCATGCCCGAGATGGCTCTTTGGTAGATTCAGCCCTCAGGAGCAAGAGCGCTCTTCTTGCTCAGTCACACCCTACCCCTCCTCTAATAAATGTCTTCGTAAGGAGGCTTATTTTTAGGCAAACCAAGAGAAATCCAAAGTTATGCCCTGGGAAGAGAGCATAAATTAGATATCTGGATCGGGACCTATTCTCCTGGCATAGGTGTCTAAAGTGCTGATTTGATGCCAGTAAGAGAACAAGCGCTGAGAGAGAAAGACAGTGTCTTTCATGTCTTACATGTTTCCATTACTCACTGCATTGAATGCTGAGAATAAGAATACAGACCCCGCCCCAGTGGAGTCTAGTGAAATAGATAAGAATCAAAGGACCTGCTAACACATATATACGGAATTTAGAAAGATGGTAATGATAACCCTATATGCAAAACAGAAAAAGAGATACAGATGTAAAGAACAGACTTTTGGACTCTGTGGGAAAAGGCAAGGGTGGGATGTTTCGAGAGAACAGCATGTGTATTATCTAGGGTGAAACAGATCACTAGCCCAGGTGGGATGCATGAGACAAGTGCTCGGGCCTAGTGCACTGGGAAGACCCAGAGGAATCGGGTGGAGAGGGAGGTGGGAGAGGGGATAGGGATGGGGAATACATGTAACTCCATGGCTGATTCATGTCAATGTATGACAAAACCCACTGCAATGTTGTGAAGTAATTAGCCTCCAACTAGTAAAAATAAATGAAAAAAAAAAAAGAATCAAAGGACCACACAAATAAACAAATGTATACAAATTATGACGACTGCCATAAAGGAAAAATACTGGGTATTTTATGAGTTCCTAACTGAAGAAATCTGACTTAGTCTGGGAAATCAGGAAAAGCCTTTCTTTAAGAAATAAAAATGAAGCTGATATACAAAAGATGAGGAGAAATTAACCAAAGGAAAGTATAATCTTTTAGATAGAAAGAAGAGAATAAGAAGGCTGTAAGTGAAGAAGCTGGCATGTTAAAGACAGTGAAAGGTCAGTGTGTCTGGAACACAGAGATAGCAAGCCAGATGATGAAAGTCAAAGAAGACCATACTAAATGACTTTAACCTTTATCCCAAAGGAGTAGGAAAGCACTGAAGAGTTTTTTTTTTTTATTGAAATACTATTGAGATAACTGTAACATCACATGAAGTTTTACGAAATAATACAGAGCGATCCTGTGTACCTTTTACCCAGCGTCCCCTTCCCCATCATGGTAGTATCTTTTAAAACTGTAGCACATTACTACAGAATGTCAGCATGGATACAAGACACAGAAGTTTCATCACTGCAAAGATCTCTTACATTGCCCTTTTATGACCACATCTCCCGACTCTGTAAATAAATAAATCAGTTTTAGGGCTACAACAAGATTGTTCTTACTGTTTGATCAAGAACAGATTAGAAAAGACCAGGGGGAGGTACAGGAGGATGCATTACTGCAACAGTGCAGGCAAGACATGACGATAGCGTGGTCTGTAGAGGTTAACAGGGAAGAAGCTGGGAAAGTAGCCACACTGAGGAGACAAGAGATAGTCAACGATGACCAGATTTGATGATGAAATAATTCAGGATTCAACCATGATCCCCCAAGTTTCCAGATTATGATCAGACAGACCGCATGTGGGGGAAATGGATGGCGATTACCAAAGTGCTTTTCAGACTGTCAAACAGAAATTTTTAACACAAACTGATTGCACCAGAGACCAGAGAGGTCTTAGATTCTTGGGTGCCCACAAGATATTTCTTGGGCTCCACTTAAGAGCAAAGGTTGGGAACACCTAATGACTAATGGCCTGGGACAGCACAATAAAGGGAGAAATGCTTCCAGTCAAAACTCGAAGAATTCTCTCAGAAGACTAAAGACTAATCCTGGGTCCTCAGTTACTACACCTTCCTTTTCACAAGTGAAAAAGATGAAGTGCTGACTCATCTCTGACAGACTGAGAAGTCCCTTGATGGTTAGGTAGCTCCAAAATGACAAGATCATTTTACAGTTCCTCAAATACTGGCTTTTAGTTAAGCTGAAAGATCCCACCCCATTTTGGCATTTGTACATCGGTATATACCTCTCAACTCCCACTAAGCATTCAGCCACCTTTCCAAGTGGGTCAGTGGTAAAGAATCCGTCTGCCAATGCAGGAGATGCAGGTTTGAGCCCTGGGTAGGGAAGATTCCCCTGAAGAAGGGAATGGCAACCCACTCCAGTATTCTTGCCTGGGAAATCCCATGGACAGAGGAGCTTGGCGGGCCACAGTCCACGGGGTCACAAAGAGTTGTACCTGATTCAGCACCTAAACAACAACAAGTGTTCATTCACCAAACAGGTGACTAGGCTATGTTCTGGGATGAGAGACTAAGACTGCAGTCTCAAGCTCAGCCCCATACTAAACTATCAGTTATGATTCAGCATGTTAAGAGCTAAGGTAGATGGAAATGTAGAATATTTGGGGGAGCACCACGGAGAGAAACCTAACCCCCGCTTGGGAGGTCAAGGAAGAGTTTCCAAAGGGACTATGTGACAAGAATGGTAAAAGATGCCACCTTTGAAATCCATCTACATAAGTTAGCCAGACAAAAATGACAGAACAAGTTTATCTTGTGGAGAAATGAAGAAGCTGGTCTCTTAGAGGACAGAGGTAGAAAAGTTTTCCTGGAAGACAAAAAAAAAAAAACCAAGTGTAAAGACACAAAGGCAAGAACAAGCAGAGCGTATTGTTCAGAGAACTCTAAGAAGTCTAACGAGGATGAAACACAGGGTCCAATGACAAGAGTGGAGAGACAGGAGGATGC